TTCAAGTTGGGTGGTCATGAGCTGACTGGAAAAACAGGGATATTTTTGTTCCTTCCCTAACAAAATGCTTAGCTCCCTCTCCAGTAATACTTGTAAAATTCAGCTCATTCAGGGCCTTTCTATGCCTTGCTCTCTTGAAGCAGTGATGTGTGGATTCCTAATTTCCCTGCAGGGTTTATCTGGTAACACGATGCTGGGTGTGAGCCACGTTGTCACAACAAGCGTTGGAATGTGTGATATAGATATCAGGCCGGTAAGTGCCACTCAGCCAGGCAGTATTTTAAGGCATAGCTATTTCTGTGCCAATACATGTTTTTAGGACTAGAACAGCAAAGTGAAGAGATTTCCTAGAATAATGATAGATATGTTAGAATAATTCTGTAAGTATTATGTACTTCTATATAGGGATATGTACCATTAGTGTTTTGTCTTACCAAATGCTAAATCAGGACCTTTTACTTACTGTTTCTACCCATATTTAAAAATCTGATGCACAGATTTTGTGGCTGGCACTGCATAATTTGGATTGGACTGGCTTCAGATAAGCATTTATATTTCTAACTTGGAGTGTTATCTTTAGATTTTTTATCTTCAGATTCCATGTATGTTCTAAACATCGTTATGTTTAGAACAAACATGGAATTTATAAAGATGAGAAGTTCTAAAGGAAAACATTATTTTTAATGTGCTGTCTTTCTCAGGTGTCAATTAGATGCAGATTGCATGAGAGTTCTTGCAACGATTTTGTTCTGTTAACCAGTGTGTGAGGAGGGCTTAGTGGGCTGGGCCATGGTGTGTGTTCACCAACTGCAGCAGTAGTGAGATAGAAAACTGCTGCAGGCCTGTGGGTTTTCTTTTGAGGTTGCATTCAGCTGTAAAAAGCTCAACAATTTGCATACAGAGGAGATCTACAGGTTGAGGATTCTCCATAGTAGAAATTGTTCAGTGAAATCTTGTAGAACATATGGCTTCTGCCTTCCTTTTGGAGTTTATTATTAAGCTGCCTTGCAATATTTTAAGTGATGAAATAATAAATTGAATTGGGAGAGGTAATATTGTTGGCATCAAGTGATGTATTGTTGTTGTTGTTGACTTTACATTCTCGCACCACCCCTCTCTATTGTGAGAAAGAGCTGTTTCCAGAATGATTTCCAAGTTAAAGCTCTAGGTTTGTTTTTTTTTTCTCTCTTTTTAGGGTCTCTATGGCAGTGTGATTGTAGCAGGAGGAAACACTCTAATACAGAGTTTCACAGACAGATTGAACAGGGAACTGTCTCAGAAAACCCCACCGGTAAAACAACTCCTTCCATTCCTGCATTGAGTACTTAACATTTTATTTTTCTGCCATATAAGTACACAAGGATATTGTGGCTTTGATATTCTTAGGAACCTGACAGCTGAATAGATTTCTGCAGGGTTAAGAGACCTCCCTCTCTAAAGAAAAGAAAGAATTCTTGAGGAGTTTCATACAGAATAAACTCCAGTATTCCTTGAGTATTTTACTGCTCCACTCTGGCTCTCAGATTGTGATCCTAAGTTCTGTAATTGTCCCCAAGCAACAGCCAGTATTTCTCTTGATGGTCTCTCTTTTGCAGTGTTGCTGACTAACTTGAGGCACATTCAGTCATTCTGACTGAGGTCACTTTGTTGTGGCAATTATTTTTCCTTGATTCTGCAGACAACCTAAATCAGGTTTTGTCTATGAGTTACATATTTACATATTTTTAAATCACTTGATGTCGAAGAAAGTATTGGTACCTTGCATCTGAGAGTAGATACAGATTATGATATTTCTTGAATTGTAGTATTCAAGCAAAAATGTTCTGCTTGGGACAACTCTGTCATGATTAATGTTAGGAGAAACTGAGAAATGTATTCACTGATTATAATAGCTGAGGAGGAGCCCATTGAAATTCAAAGATTTTATTGCTGTAAGGCATTTTGAAAGCAAAAGGAATGAATGGATCCAAGTAAGACTAGATGACTTAAGTCTAGCAATAGAAGTCATTTTAATCCCAGTGCAGTGTTGGAGATGACACTACACTGTGATATTATTGCTCTCCACCTGCCCCATTCCTTGCCTTAACCATCTGCTGTTTATAGACAAGGTAAAAACCATATTTCCTGTTCCACTGTGGCTGTTTTGAATTGTAAATGCAGGGCAGATGAGCAGTATTGCAGATGTACTAAAATGGACCTTTTTCAGCTGATATTGGTATAGACAGCAGGTTCCTTGTGCTGCTTGTCCCTGAAGGTCACCAGCTTACATTTGTGTGACATTTGCTCCCTTTCTGTGCAGAGCATGCGCCTGAAGTTGATAGCCAACAACACCACTGTGGAGAGGAGGTTCAGCTCCTGGATTGGGGGCTCCATTCTGGCTTCTTTGGTTAGTAAACCTGTGTTACTGCATTGCTGTGCTGAGCAGCACTGCCACCAGACATCTGATTGCCCAGAAGTGTGCATTGCAGAGTCTGTGCTACATAACCATAATCTTGGCTATCCTCATGGTAAGGGGAAGAGAATCTGTTTTAAAAAGAGGTGTGAGTGTTTCCAGTGACAACATACCCTGCCATGTTCTCCCGTTTTTAGTGGTAAGGTAAAACCTTGAAATACATGTACTTTCATGAAAGTAGCAAACCTGTTTCTGCATCATATTCCTGAGGTTAATTCTACAAGTTACTGAGCACTGAAATGCTTTTTGGGGGTTAATTTATCATCATGGGAAAGGGAGACTGGAATCAGCATTTGGTGCTGCACTTCCTGTCTGGAGTTTAATCCCTTAGCAATAAAACTCAAGGAGAAGACAGTTAAGCAGCCAAGTCCTAATACTTAATTTAATGTAAGGGCTTGCTTGTTTTCCCTCCTAGGAAAACCTGCTAATCATGTTTCAATTAACCATCATTTGTGTTCTGATATTTTTTCATTGTGTGTCGCTTTTGTTTCTTTATTTTTGTAGGGTACTTTCCAGCAGATGTGGATTTCTAAACAAGAGTATGAAGAAGGAGGGAAACAGTGTGTAGAAAGAAAATGTCCTTAGACCTCTTTACTGTGAAAACTGCTGCCTGCTCGGTGCTCCTTCTGTTTTATAGCTTTAGCATACTCAGGAATGGGATGGACTCCTTTTTGTAGGAAGTTTATATTGGGTTTTTTGCATAATTCAAGTTCCATTTTAACAAAGTTAGAAATTTTCAGAGACCTAATTGGTACTATAATAGAAAAAGGATGTTTACGTCCCTTGTAAAGCAATAATTCCTGTAACAAGCATTTTATAATTTTGTATAAATGTCTATTTTCTCTAGTATCTTTTCCTGGGAACAGCTTTACAGGTTAGCTAATAGATAGAGGCATAACCTTGCAAATGCCTGTGCTTATTTATTAATTATCTCTTGTCTAATTTCTTGTCTACTTTCACATACTAGTCTTCCTTGCTGGTACTTTGGCCTTAAATTGCTCTTAGTTTTCTCTTAAAAAATAAAATTTGGTCTTTTATATTTGAGCAAGCTTGCGAGTACTTGCAAAGAAAGTTACTCTGCTGTTCTAAAAGTTGAAAGTTTGTATTCAGCAATCTATTTTAGTGTAAACTTTTACTGTATCACAGAAGTGTTACATTCCATGGAGTGAATGTTATATTAAGCACTGGTTTGTTAATTTTTTTATCACGGAGCATTTTCATTTCAGTAAGCAAGCAATGCTTTCCACCTGATGTCTAAGAATGTATTTAATGCCTTTGTGATGTTGGTGAGAAGCAAAGCCTGTTCAGGACAGGGAAACTGAGACAAAGAATTGCCTCTCCAAGACTGGGAGCAGAGTCAGAAGCTTTCAGTGTGTGGCTTGACCCTCTGCAGGGAGCCCCAAGTGGTGTGTGGCTCCGCCTGTGCCTCCCAGCAGGGTCTGTAAGTGCCTGTGTTTGCAGGGGGAACGTGCACTCAGGGTCACAGGAATGGGGATGACTTTTTTTTTTCAGCAGGAATCGGCTGTCAAGATGCAGCTCAATGTTGCTTTTAAGCTTAATTTACAATGGTGTGGTGATCTGTTTTGGGACATAATGAAGTTTTGCTCCTTATCTCAAAAGCTGTGGAAAACCAAATAGCATTTAACTGATCTAAAAAAAATTAACAGTACTGCTACATTTTTGTATCCTAAAAGATCTTGTGGGTAAATAATTATGAGGCCTGTATTTGAAAAGTTTCACATTACCTCCAAATAATAAAGTAATTTATCAAACCAATCTGCTTTTGTCTTATCATGAGAATCTTGATTTGCTCTTTAGACAAAGTTGCTTGATCAGATTTTCAAAGCTATTGACAAACCATATTTCTCTTGCAAAATGAGGCAAACTGCAAAGTCATTGTCATTGACTGTTGTCAATGTCACCAGCTGTTGTCATTGTGGAAGAAAAAGAGTCAGTCCAGCTTAGATGGAACATGGAACACAGCTGAACTGCTACCTCAGTGCATTGCAGTGGGGTGGTGTTTTTAAGTTTTCCTCCTGTGGCATGCTTAGATTTCATTATGCCAAATCAGCTTTTATCTTCTGTTTCTCTTCAAAGAATTGCAGTACAGTAGTAATATCTGCTAATATTCCAGCAGCAGAGGGAGAGTAAAACACTGCTGGAGGTTTTCTCACACTAAAGATTCTGAGTTTGAACAGTGGGAATTTTGTACGATGCAGAGAAGGTGAAGGTCCAAATGCTGGAGATAGATACAGGAAACAGTAGTGGTTCCCTTGCAGTGTTTTACCAGATTATACTGCTGAGCACATTTGCTTCCTGAAAGACTGCTATTTGTGACTTTAATCTAGATTTCTAGATGACCACATATGGAGTTAAAAGCCTTCCTGAAGTGAAAGGTGAAGGTGTTTCCATCAACTGAGAGCAACAGCAGTACCTACTTCAATTTCATAGAAGACTATTGCAGCCTTCTTTCAAACACTTTGCACTGTGCAAAAAAGCATTGTACAAGTGTTTGAATTGTAACAGAAATCAAGGTAGCACAACTGTATTAGAAGTTCCCATGCTGAGTATTTCATACTTTCTAAGAAGCCAGACCTAAAGCAGTGGAAAAAATTCCTCACAGCAGACTGAAGAGCCCATTTACCAGTGCATTTATGCAGAGAGCAAATACACCTTGCATAGCTTACCTTAACTCATGGAAAATATTCAGGAAAGTAGCAGGAAAAATATGATCAGGGAAAAGGCTCCTATGTGAGCTTCAGATGCTCTCATGTTTCTGTCTGGTTTTAATACACATTTGTTAAACTATACCAGGTAAATATTACCCCTACACTTGTCACTGTCAGCTGGCACTCAGTGGCTGCTCTTCACTGTTCTAATGTATCTCTCACTCTTGTAACAGCTGGCTAACACAACATTTGTTCCTGCAAATGAGATCAGATGATTTGGGTTAGGTACCAAAGCTGCTTTTTAATTCCAGATCACAAGTTTAATTAAAGTCAAATGTTGTATTAAAAACAGAAAAAGATGGAGACTCAGGAATGCTCAGTGGAGTTGTTTGTGGTTCCAGAACATGATTCATGTTCCACAGACACTTGACCAGTTGCTTGCAGTGCTCTTCCAGCCTGCTACTGGCTCTGGGATTTCACAGCAAGGTCAGGGAACTTCCTTTCCAAGACCTTCCGCCTCGTCCTCTCCAGGCTTTGCTGCCTTGCCCTTTTCCGTAAGGTTTTTTCAAGTCTGAGCCTGAAACAGAGAAGTTGGTGTGGTTCATTTTCAGCCAACTTGAGACCACTTTAATGAGCTCCCCCCAGTCAGATAGAGGCTCTCAGTGATTAATAACTTCAGTGTTCATTTGCTTCTGATAAGTAAAAAAGCCTGCAGGGTAATATTTTTACTCTGGTTCTGAATTCTATGGAAGTTCAGCCTCTGGGAGGATTTCTGATATCTGCACTTGAAGTTACTTTTACAGTGCCACTGCATAACCATGTACCTTAGTAACTAAGGTGGGAACAGAAAAAAAGAAACAGAGCAAGCTGTAATTTAAAAAAGCCTAATTTTCAGTCTAGTAGCTGAAAACTGAAAGATTACAGCTATTTTTTCCTTTTAAATTGGAATAAGGACACAAACAGATCAGAAGATAACTTTCAATGTCAAAATAATCCTTTTACCTGATGAAGTGATTCACATGAGGTAAGTAATAGAATCTCTTCTTTTTGTGTTTTTTGTTCAAGTGCCATGGTATTGGCCATTCCTTGTAACTGTACCTGTTGGAGACAGATAAAAGTGATTACAGAATGTACATGTCTTAATTCTAGGATTTTACCAGTTTCTCTTGGTTTCAAGTACAGTGATAAAGTGGTCTGGGAGATGGCAGGATTTCTATGTGGGTATTTTTTTCCAGCTCTTGCTGGCTTGGTTTGTAACTGTGTCTCCTGTGTTCTGTACAGTCTATGCATCCTTCCTTGATTAGACAAGGATTTTCTGGGAGAGAGACACAAGAAAAACTCCCCCATTAAAGCAAAGGTTAGATCCATACCAGAAGGTGCGTCCCAGGAAGTCGTGTCTCCACTCGCCAGGGACTGGCTTTTCATGGCCCGTCTGTAAAAGCCTCAAAGCAATTTCTCTTTCTCTGACAACCAAATCTATATTTTTCATAGATGTTTCTACCTGGAAATGGTAAAAAGTTTCAGGATGCACCAACAAAAAACAACGCTGAAAATTTAAAGGATCTCAAAGACAAAATTTAAAGGGAAAACAAAGGTAAAACATGCTGGAGTTTGATCATGAGTTCTCTCTCAGCAGGGCCTGTGTATTAGAACAGTAAGGAATGGGTGCTTCAAAAACCTAATTTGACAGCAGGACAGATATGAAATAACTGACAGTCTGATACTTGATTAAAGACCAGCTGGGTGATGCATCAAACCAGATCCAATGCTGATGCAGAAGTGTTGGAGCTCTGAGGCAGGGGTCAGAAGGAAGCAGGAGAAGCAAACAGAAGATTTGCTTATGCTTTGTAGTGGCTGTTGGTTATTTTAGTTTTCACTGGAGTCTGGTCACAGCCCCAGCAATGCCCACTGGACACTGAGAAAGCTGCCTTGACCAAATTATGACTTGAGCAGTTAGTGCATACACTAAAATCAGGGAAATAATTAAAAAAAAAAGGTCTTTTAACAAGTTTACAAACACTTGATCTTTCAGCAGTTTTACTTAAGAGTTACAGTTTTTATGTAGCATGAGAAAGGTACCTTTTCTAAGCGCTCTGGACTTGGCATAGGCTTGCGCTGTCGTTTGGACTCTTGCTCTAAAGTTAAGAGCATGTTCTTTTCTTTCAGCAGGACATACCTGGAGCAGAAAGCACAGTAATTCAAAAATGACTTTGGGATAGCTAAGCAGTTATTCACTTACTATCTGCAATCCCAAATCCTGCTGGCTTCATATAATGAAACAAAAGAGGAGAATGAGGGAGACAGGTTTACTTAGTCTGGAATAAAGAGGACTTAGGAGGGAAGAGTTTAACATTAAGTTGTTTCCATTACCTGGACAAAGCCAGATTCTTCTCACATGTACACAGGAAAAGGACAAGACAAAGCAAGGAAAAAGCTGTTCACAGTAATGATTTAGTTCAGCCTGAACTTATTCCAGCTTCAGAAACTTCTAAAATCAGAATAAATGCAGACCTGAGCACCCTGATGGAATGAAGTGCCCACCCCACCAGAAGGGACTGAAAACCAAGTGGGTCCCACTCAAACAACCTCAGAGGGTTTTGTACAAAACCTGAGCCCTCTGAACTTGACACAGCTGTCCCACAGCCACCTGCAGTGCAGCTTCTGTGCTCTGAGCAGGGCCAGGATCAGGACTGCTCCCAGCCCAAAGCTGGCTCTGTGCCAGACTAAAGCTACTGGATCGTGAGTTCACCAGCCACATTTTATTGATGTGCAGAGCTGGTATGAAAGAAGCTTCTTCACTAAAACTTACTTACCAAAGTTTATGCAAGTCTTCACTACTCTTGCCCCTTAGCTGCTTTATATTCCATGAATCCCCTGTAAGAGATAAAAAAAACACCATTAATTTAATGAAACAAAGTTCTCTTATTCTGGAAAATAAAAAATGCATCTATCAGGCTCAGCTGACACAACAGTATAAAGACCACTTTTAAAATAACACTGCTTGGACAGCCATCCTTGAGGATATTCAGCTTTGCATTTAAAATAAAATACAAAAAGTCCATTATAAGTAGTGTTTATTTGTGCTTGTAAAAGGCTGGAAACACAGAAAGCTGTCAGATGAATCTTGACACTGAACTAGTTTTCTTCCATAGTACTTACATTTCATCAAAGCACATCTCTTCCGTGACACACTCTCACTTCAGAGCAAGGCAGAGGATTTACAGCAAAACATTTTGCTGCAGAGTTGCTATTTGCTTTCATAGACACTGAATACACACAGCAAAAATTAACAGGCATAAAGATGCACAAGTGGATGTATGTGCATAGAAAAATAATATGATATACATAGGAAAATAAGTTTTACGTAGCTATGAATGCTCCCTATAATGCAAAAAATCCCAGGTCAGATTTCAGCTCAATGATCACTATCAGAAATGCTAAATATAACTCACCAGACTTTACAGTTTTTTCCCCCCAGTTTCCTGGATCATCAAAAAACTCCTCCAGACCTCTCCGAGACACAGTTGTGTGCAGGAACTTCACCTGATGGAGGCTCTCAATTTTTGGTGGATTCTTGTGGTACAGATTGAGTGCCATCCTGCATAAAAGTTAGAAGGAAAACTATGTATGATAGGAAAAATAATATTCTGCTAAATGAGAATGTTTGTTTCATTCACAAAGGCACAGGTCTTACAGAGAGATGACGGCATGTGGGGAAAAAGCAGAGTTTTGGTTAGTCACAAAGATGTCATCTTGGTGTTTTCTCCTCCCCGTCATCTCATCTAATTATCAATTTTCTAGACTTAGAGATAATAAGCAATTAAAAATTAAGGAATAAATCTGAGCTATGCTGTACAAGAGTACATCATGGACGCACGGAACTTTTAGCATTGGAAAGGACCTCTGGAGATCAGGCCGTGCAACACCCCTGCCAAAGCAGGGTCACCTGGAGAAGTGACACAGGTGCGCGTCCAGGTGGGTTTGGGGTGGCTGCAGAGGGGGAGAATCCACGCCCTAATCCCCCGTGGCCTTAATGCAAAAGCTGTGGACACCCGGGAAAGCACAAAACGCACCAGCAAATTCCCTGCAGGATTCTACAGGCCCAGGAGCCGCTTGGTGCTGCCCTTACACGCTGCCTGCGGCCACACTCCACACTGCAGCCCTCAGGCTGGCGGAGCCGGGACACACGGACACCGGGACGCACGGACACCCGCCTCCCGCCACAGGCTCTCCTTCCTCCCGAGAACCGCGCCCGCCCCTCCGTGCCTGAGCCCGAGTCCGCCCGGTGCGGTGCGTACCCGGGGAGTCCCGGCCGAGCCCGGGGCAGGCGGAGCGCGGCCGTGAGGCTCCGGCCCAGCGCGGCCATGGCCGCGGCCGCCGCCATCGCCCCGCGTCCTCCCACAGCGCCGGGGGCACGGGGCGGGAGCTGCCCTTTCCCAAGATGGCGCCTGCCCGGCCTCACCCGCGCTCTCCAGCTCTACATGGAGCACAGGGAAGGCTCTGCCCTTTTCCAGCATGGCGTCCGCGCGGCTTCACCTCCATGAGGTCCCTCTGCGCCGGGGGCACTGGGAAGGCTTTGCCCTTTCCCATGATGGCAGCCGCCGGCTTCACCCCGCGACGGAAAGCGGCACGGCCGGCCCCGCCCCGTGCCAGTCCCAGCCATGGCGGCCATGAGCCGGGTGCTGCGGGCGGCCGCGGCCTGGGCGGCGCGGCGGGCGGGCAGCGCCGGGACCGCCGGGATCACCGGGACCACCGGGGTCACTGGGATCACCGGTATCGGCCCCCGCCTCCCCGGCACCCTCGGTACGGCCCCGGCGGGGGAGCGGCGGGGCGGGGGCCGGGTGACCTTGCGGAGCGGGGCAGAGGTGCCCTCCCGGAGGCCGCGGGAGCGCCCGGGGCTGAGCAGCTTCTCGTTGTGCCCCCGTTCCTATGGAAAACTGCCAGGTTTGGGTAAAAAATGGATGGAAACGGGCGGGAGGCCGACCCTCCTGGCACTGCAATTGTCCATTTACTCGGCCCTGTATGGTGACATTCACTGATTCACGTGTCGGCGCTTACAGGTGGGCATAGACCTCTGTTTATAGTTAGAAGAAAAATTGGTTAATGCTAACAAAATACGAAATTCCTTCAGGCAAACTGCAAAAAACTCAGCTGCTGTTGTAGACTCTTCTTTTTATTTTCCTTTCCCACGTATGTTTGACCTTGTCCTGGCATAAGCACCAATGGAGTACAAAACCATAATACTCTGGTTCAATTTTCAGTTCCTGTACGGCACAGTGGTGACCATGGGAAGAGAATGTTTATCATCAAGGCAACAAGTTTTTATGATTCTCGATTTCTGAGCTTGTTGGTGAGTTAAAAATCAAATGTATTATTGCATTCAGTGTAGCACATCACTTGTAAATGGTGTAAGAGTGTCTAAAATACAATTTCCTGTGTTGTTTATGTGATAGCATCTAAAATGTGACTGGCACTATTTACATAAACAAGAATTTCAGGTCCTCTTTAAGAATTTTTTTGGTGAAATGCTGTAAAATCAGGGCCAGATGAAGTTCAAAGACTGGCTGTATAGCAAAGGCTGTGATAGGTACTTAAATTACTGCTGTAGTAGCATTCTTAAATTACATGTCTGTGTTCATATATGCATGACCCACAAATGCTTTCTGCTCCATCCTGCTTTTTGAAACATATCAGTTACTCTGCTGCAGGGTTTGCCTTCACTTATCTACACCACTAACAACAGAGGTGAGATTTTGGAAGCCTGACCTGAGTTTGACCCCTCCAAAGTCAGGTTTTGGATAAATCCTTTTATAAGCAGCAAGAGCTGATTTGATACAACTCCCTTCATGTGATCAGGACTCATTTCTCTGCTTTCTTCAGCTACAGAGCCCACAGTGGCTGCACTGGTGTTGGATTCTTGCTTTGCTGTCAGTGCTGATTGCAGCTGGAGCCAGCCATGCCAAGATGCTGAGGGATTTCAGGGAGGTGTTGCTGCTTGCTGCTGCACAGACTGACCTCGCTGGGAGATGGGAACTGACCTGAACAGGCTCAGGGCTGACACAGCATCACTTTTGTGTGTTCTGTTCATTAATGAACTCATTGCAATCAGCAGTGTTTACACACAACATCCCTTTCCAGCCTAGAAGTGCAAATCTCAGAGTTACTGGCTGTTGACTGTTTTCAGATATTTTCAGATCTCATGTAAATTTTGTCAGGGTTCTGAGTTTCCCACACTGACTGTTTTTATCCCCTCTACAGAGATACTATTTATTCCTGACAGGAATACCAGTGGCTGTGCTCTTAACATACATCAACATCTTCATCGGTGAGTGCTCTGTCAGGGCCAAGCAAAGTACAGTCAGAGTTATTAAATGATAATTAAGCATGCTGGATAGAGAAAAAACACTCTTTTAGGGCTGTCTCCTTGGAATACCATGGAATAGGCCTAACAAATACAGTGATATTGTATTAAGTACATAGAAAATGTTCCCAGTATATTTGCTGTAGTTGTTGCTTTTTAAAAAAAGTTTCTCACGTTAAAAAAAAAAAAAAACAAACAAAAAACCATTCTCTCTTCTAGCAGTCTTTCAAACATCAGTGAAGTTTAGTAACTTGCTTTAACAAGACTGCAACTCTGGCTTTTTATCTAGCAAAGATGCCAAAATTCTGCCTGGCAATACATGTGTTAAATGTCCTTCTGTAATGATATGTAATTAATTTAATAGAGAAATCAAGAAAAGTCCATGCTTTCAGCTCTTGTATTTTAAAGGTATTTCTGTGGACTTGATCCAAGTTGTTTCTTCTATACAGCTGCTAATTTTACCATTTTGGTGTGTCAGTTAAAATCTGTGAATATGTATTTGCAGTGTGATGTATCTGCAAAAATTGCAAGTTCAATTTTTCTGAATAGAGCTCAAACTGAGGGATTTAGATCTTTTCCTTATCTGAAAAGCAGAATATAAGGTAGCTTGGGAAAATAATCATAGAGTTAAATATTCCTTCCCTCCTTTCCTTGTCAGGTGAAGCTGAACTTGCAGAGATTCCTGAAGGTTATGTTCCAGAGCACTGGGAATACTACAAAGTGAGTGTAACATGTAAAAGGGTGGGCATGTTATGGACAGCCTTTCTCTTGATTGATACTTTTGGGAGTAAAATGAATGGAGTATGATGATGTCTGTCAGTGTAGTAAAACTCAAATAGTGCAGTTCTGATTTTGGTAAACTTTTTGTGGCTTTATGGAACATGTAAAATGCTGTTGGAAATCTCTTTAATGATACAAGCAGATGAAAATGTTCTGTATGCAGTAAACTGCTGACACTGTATGCCAAGAATTTTTCTATAATATTCCTAAATAGTAAGAAAAGTCCTCTGCATTCATACCATGCAGGTTTTGTCTTTTTTTTTTTTTTCTACAATGTCTTAAGAAACTGGAGTTTAAAGTGACATTTATTTCTTTTGTGTTGTTTGCCAGTATTGTTTTAAAGTCCCATATCACACACACTTTTGGATCTAGAATTGAAGATTTTTATAGTCACAAACTCAAGGTTGTGTGGTTTCAATTTAATTGTATTTTCTTAAAATTAGTCCCTGGCTTCTTGCTGCTAGCACTGTTTTGTTTCTCGTAGGAAGTAATTGAATTCAGCAATATTATTGTGACTGTTCCAACTCATTTAGACTTGTTCCTAGTGAAATGTCCTCTATGTAGAAGCAGAATTTTGAAATGTTTCTGATTACAGTAAGATTTGGACTCCACTTCTGTGATTACTGTGGCAGTTTAAGGAACTTGAACAGAAAGAAAATAAATTATATCTTCTGTTAAACTTTATTTTTGCTGTAGAACAGTCATCTGCAGGTTATCTTGGCATTAAGGATTGCAAAAGAAATACGACTTTTTAGGGTTCTGATCTCACAAGTAGTCGTGCATGTTTGTAACTTTACTGTTATGATATGAATGGCAGCACTCATGGTGTCCATGCCATCTTTTCAGGACTGTGGATACACAAGGTGACATTTCTTTTTGGAAATTGCTCAGACAATTTCTGCTGTTATGTTTTCCAGCACCCCATAACCCGCTGGATAGCTCGTTATGTACTTGACCCCCCTGAGAAGAACTATGAGAAGGACATGGCCCTGCTTGATGTGGAAGTGAGGAAATCTGAGCTGAGGTATGCTCTGTAGTTGGGGGGGTTAAAATCCTGATCCATACTGGAGCTGACTCTTTGATTTTGCATGACATACTGAGCTGGATGCTGACATAAAGTGCTTTCATGTGTCCCCTGAGTGCTGCCTGCCCTGGCTGCTGCCAGAGTGGGAGTCACAGGATCTGTTATCGCTGCCCTCTCAGGATTCAGGTTACCAGAACAATCCAAGGGTGGGGGGGTCTTCAAAACACTTGGTATTTATGAAGGTGTAGCTCTGCCTTTGTCTTCCTGAATCAGCAAATGGAGCTCTTTTTGCCCCTGCTAATGCTCTAATGTTCTTAGAGAAGAACCTGTGACAAAACTGCCAGTATTTTTATTACTCCTTTGTGGAATGACTTGCTGGAAAAAAACCACAACAAAATTAAAAGATTTAATAGCTCATGTCTTAGCTGAACCCTTCATATTTTGGTCCTACCTATGCTTTAGCAGTATTTATAAACCATTGATGCTAAAATCATTGCTTTGTCAGTAATGTTCAACATCAACAAACTTCATGTTGAGGGTGTCTGTTGCTTTTTTTTAGGCTGCTGGAGTTGGAGGCACGCAGACTGATGAGACACCGGGGAGATGGGCCTTGGTACCATTACGAAACACCTGACAAAAATCTTGTTGACAATTCTATGAAAGCCACACCTGACAATTAAACAATTTTAGGGCAGTGTGCAAGGTCTTCAGTGCATACTGACAAATTGTGACTGTGCTGTGGAACAGACATCCTGCTGTTTGCTGATGGAAATGAATAAATGATGTTTGTGTTGATTCCAGTATCTTGAAAGAAACTGTGTGGCAGTTAAGCTCATACAGCTATTAAAGCTGTTAATCAGTGAAAATGCTTTATGTCAATTGCCAACCAGTGCTCCTTTCCTTCAGAACATATGTACATGAAACACATTGGTACTATGAGTTTCCATTTTGTGATTTCTAGTGTTTATAGTTTTAAGTGAAAGATACAAGAAGCTAAGAGTTTTTTCTTTCTCAGTGCTTTGTGTCAGGTAATTGGTGGGAGATGAACGAAGTAGGAAAAGTACCTTCACACATACCTGCCATGCATTTTCAGAACTGCGCAGCTGTTCTTCCACACCACTTCTGGCAACTCCTTAGGGAATACAAAGAGTTCTCTCATCACCTGGCAGGTTTTTGCCACTAGAGGGATGTGTTTCCTCAGGGTCTACAGGCCATGGTACTCTTTTAAATTTCTCGAGTGATGGAAAGTGCCTCTTACAGTTTGTGACTCTAAATTATCTGTCCATATTCAATATTCTCACTTTTTAAAGGAAATAAGCCCAAATTAAACCCATATAATCTAGTGATTTGAAACATAAAACTATTTTTTTATATTAGGCAAGACTGCATGGACTATTTTAAGCAAAAAGTGCCTTGTTTGCTGTTTCCTGGCACTGCCAAACATTAGAAAGACATTGATTTTCTATCAGTGCTTTGCTTGCCCTTTCTGATAGAATCAGTCTTTCAGGTTAGATGGCTCATATGTCTTATGGCTCTCATTGTTTATAAATGCTGAGTTATTAATAAGAGAGGCCATTAAAAAAGCACAAAGTCTCCTCAGGTAAAATAAACCTGTCTGACCCTGCATTAGTGTTTTTTATCCAACATCCAATGATGCTTGCAAGTCTGATGTAATGTCTGTTTTTCAGTAAGTCTCCATGGACATCACATTCTGCCCACAGTGTTTCACATTGTTCCCAACACTGGATTTTTCAGTTGTGAAAATTGCTGAGAACACGGTGCTACCCTGCTCATCCTCACAGCCTGCTCATAGCTGGGTACAAACATTTTTCAATTCTGTTTTTGAGATTTTCCTAGAACCACTTTTTGAAAATTTTAATTTTGAGGTAAAAGGTGGTTCTAGCAAAGGTCACATCACCTCCTTGAAAGTGATCAATGAGTCCTTGGATATATTGTGGATGATGGGTGGAAGGCAACTCATCTGCTCTATGCATCTTTTTACATGGACTGGTCCTTTCTTTAATCCTGTTGCTGCCAGGCATATGTAGTAGTTATTGGCTACTGCTTGAAAACAGCAGCAATATTTTTTTCCCTACAAAGATCACTCTTATTTCTCCTTCTCTGATGTTACTCTTTCAAAGTGAAGAGTAGAGAGAAACACAGCAAAGGCCAAAAAAGGGCATTTTAAGGTAAAGGCACTGCCCCTGAAGCCATGAAATTGGGAGTTGGCTCCTGGCACTGCCACAGGCTTCTCGAGCATCCCACGCTGGCCATTCCCAGCCTGTATCCCCCCACACTGACCTGCTTTTCTGGAAGGTGGGGACATCCCACCTGTCAGCACAGGCCAGGTGGGACCTGCCAGAGCCATGTGAGACACCTGTGCCACAATGAGGGGCTGAGAATGAAAATACAGAGGAGAGATTCTTTACTGCGTGTATTTCATACAAACATAGATACATAGACAGATGTATATACATATATATATATATGTACATATACAGTTATATACTTCCATATACTTCCATATACATATATATATGTAAATATATATACATATCTATGTATATATATGTATATACATACATACATGCACACACATATATATATATTTATGTAGTCTTTAAAAGCTTAAAACTAAATAACAGAGCGTATAACAGAGTATTAGCGGTCAGAGGGAAACCTTCCCCGGGCTACCCGGAGAGCCCAGGAGCCAAGCCTCCGTGCCGCCCCGCTGGGAGCGAAGGTTTTCGGGCGAGACGCGGGGCCCCGGCGGCGATCCCGCCCCACTGCCCTGCCCCTCGCCCGCCCCCGCCGGGACCCCCGAGTGCCGCCGCCGCAGCTGGTGCCGCTGCCGCTGCCATTGGATTAAAAATAGCATCTTCCCTCCCCCTGCCCTCCCTCGGGCCCGGCTCCCGCCGCCGCCCTGCCCCGGGCCCGGCTGCCCGCCGCCTCCATCGCTCGCGCAGAGCGGCTCGGCAGGGAGGGCGGGCGGCCGGGAGCGAGGGCGGGAGGGCAGCCGGGAGGGAAGGGAAGGGAAGGGAGGGAAGGGAGGGAAGGAGGATGCAGCGGGCCGCGCTCTTCCGCGGCGGCGATGCGCAGATGGCCTCCGGGGACCTGGGCGAGCTGCTCGTCCCCTACATGCCCACGATCCGGGTGCCCAAGTCAGGGGACCGGGTCTTCAAGACGGAATGTGCCTTCTCCTACGACTCGCCCGTGAGTGCAGCGATCCACCCCCGGCTGCCTCCGCGCCCCCGCCCGCCGCGGCCCCTTCCCCTCCCCGCCGCAGCCCCTCGCACCCTGCCCGGGCCGCTGCCTCCCCTCAGGCTGCCGAGCCGCCCCCGGCCCTTCCTCCACCTGCCGCGGGCCCTCGCCCCGCCGCCGCTGCCCGGCCCGGGTCACGGCGCTCCCGCACATCGCCGCCGGCTCGTCCTTCCTGCGTTTGTTCGTTTGTTTTCCTCCTTCGAGGCGTTCTGAAGTGGTTGCTTGGACACGGGGATTTTGTGGTTTTGGGGAAGCTTCCCTGCTTGCTTTGCTTGTCGGGGTCTGTCTGCTCCACCCGGAGCCTGCTTTTGCTTTCACACCGAGGTAGTTAAAAAGGGAGAGTAATGGCCTTCTCCTTGGTTTATTTCGGCGAGCAGATGTCAATTAATTTGCTTTTCTACTGCCTCCGTGCTCGTTCTATTCAAAATCTTCATAGAAAGCTTTCAAGGTGAAGGCTCATCCTGCAAATCAGCGTGGAAGTTCCCCTGAAACACTTTCTCCCCAAGGGTTTCAGTTACATCACTGAACTTCAATGGACTTGTAGTATTTCCCCACCAGCTTGGTTGGTTTGCTGTTAGATGAATATTTCATGTGCAGTAAACTTTCTGTGGCGTTATTTCCACCAGCATCCACAGATTGCATGTGTTCCATGGCAGATCTGGGGCCTGACTCAGTTTTTAACTTCACTGCTAGTACTGGGAGCCTTCATAAATGGGCAGTGCTTTGTAAGAAACAGGTGCTTAGAAATTAGACTTTATCAAAAGAGGTTGAAAATTTTATTAAAAGTTGCTTCTCCACAGGAAACTGAGGTTTCCCAAAGGTGATTGAGCACTCTATGTTGATGTTAATGTCAATGGCAGCAATCAGAAGGAAGCTCATTGCATTACAGAATATTCATTAAAAGTTACCTTTCAGGGACATTTTTGGAATCCTTTATCCCGTTCTATTTGATAATTCCCCCTCTTTTTGATAATTCCTTTTAATACAGAAAATCAGACTTGATTTTAAAGGTGACTCAGCTGTCTGGTGTTTGTCATGTCTTGTTGAACAGAGGTTATTTTTACCCACACTCTTCAGATCTCAAGTGTCACCCAGCAGCCCTGACTGTACTGGGAGCTGGGCTGATTAGAACTGCCAAATCGGACTCCACCGCAGAGGCGATAATTGCATTATATACTTAAGGAGGTTTTGGCGGGGGAAAATCAATACACCACATTCTTTCCTTCAGATTTCTGCTTGGGTGAGCACATGGTTGTTGCTTTTAGTAACACTTTCAGGCTTATTCGATATTATGGTTTATAAAAATTTCTGTTAACAAGGAGGGAGGGATGTAAAATACTGCTACAGATTAAAGAGCAATCAATCACCACCGTGTGCAACAAGCCTCAACTGAACACAGCTAAAGCTCTTCTACTTCCAAAGCTTAACGTGGTTTTTGCAGCCCTGTTTGTCCCTCTGTCAGTTGTGTCATCTTCTCTGGGTTTGTGTAGTGCATCTTCCAGTGGATAGAGGCAGCTTCACTGATTGTTCTCAAAACTGGTGGAGGTTCCTTTTCCATGAGGTTTAAATCTTTCTTGGATGAAGATCTGAGAACAATGTCACCTTTGTGCTACAGTGAGAGTCATTAGCTGAGAGACTTCAGAAGTGAGAGAGCTGGAAGTACAAGTGGCTATTTAGTGTGTTTGTTCCACGTGGATTAACTGTATCGTGGTGATCTTGTCAGAGAGGTGGTATTGTTAGAAATACAAACAGATGAGAAATTAATGTCTTTAGATTTGGCCTTCTTCCAATGGAACATACTGGGGTTGGTCCCTGGAAAGTTGGCAGGAGCAGGAGGCAAATTTCTTTGCACTTAAGAGACCTAGTGACACTTTTTAGTTTGCTTGGCTTATTGGATGAGAAAAATATGTCGTTTATTATTTACATTTTAATTACTTTTTTGAGATTTTTTGATGTCTTCTAGAAAAACTGTGTTTCTCTGATGAGGGCTCCTACTCCAAGTAGCCATTCCTTTGTACAGGAATTGAGGAGGGAAGGCAGGCTGCCTACAAAACACAAACCTGGCCTAGTGTTGAGTATTGCTTCCTCCAGGGATTGACCCAGCAGCTATTTGAGCCAACCACCTCCCTGCAACTTGGCTGACAAAGTCCTGCACCTCTCATTATTCAGGTCTGAGGTGCAGTCATGCCTCCTGGTGACTTTTTCCACATCTCCAACCTGTGCTGTAGGTTTCTTCTCTTCTATTTTGTCCACTGTGACTTCTCTTCCTCTTTTGGTGGATGAGCCTGACTTTGTGTTCAGTGAAATGCAGAAGATATGAAGGTTGTGTTAAATAATCTTTTGTTGTACTATTATTTTTTTAGAAGGATAATACTCAGCTTTGGAAATTCCACCTTTTAATGTTCCCTGGTCTCAAAAACATCTGATCATTTATCACAGAATTGTAGAGTCATAGAATATGCTGAGTTGGAAAAGACCCATGAGGGTCATTGAGCCAACTCCTGGCCCTGCACAGGACACCCCAACAATCCCACTATGTCCAAGCACTTCTTCAGCTCCATCAGGCTTGGTGCTGTGACCACTTCTCTGGAGAGCCTGCTTCAGTGTCCAACCACCCTCTGGGTGAAAACCTTTCCATATCCAACCTAAACCTCCCCTGAGACAGCTCCATGCCATTCTCTCCATTCCTGTCACTGGCTGTGAGAGTGACACATCTGGGGAAGAGACAACAGCTGGCAAAGGGATGCAAACTGGGGCATAAAAATGGCTTAATGTGAGCTGTGGATGCTGCACGTGGATGTGCCCTGAAACCTTCCCCACAAAGGGCAATGGTGACAACCCCAGCACAGCCCATGAGCCTGACACGGTGACAGGACCGGGCAGGCTGGCTCTGTAGAGTGCAGGACTGTGTTTGTTTGAGCAGCTGAAAGTTTGGCTTTGCTCTGCTGGAAAACCTTGCTGCTGACAACAGCTTCCTTTGTGAATCTTGCTGACTTCATTTTTGTGGCTTGGGAACTCTGTAATGGTTATGTTGGGACAATTCCCAAAGTCTGAGCTGAGCTGATGCTCTGCTGTTGGTTGTGCAGTTGAGACTGAAATCATTGAGAGACTGGAGTGTGTAAGGGAAGTTGGTGATTGTGTTGCATAAAACATTCTAGAAATAAGCACCTCCTGTCTGGCAGCTCCTTTGGTCAATATTCCTTGAGGAAAATCAGGAAGTCACTGAGGCCTGTGTCTGTGAGGGGTAGGCTTGGATCTTGTCTCTATTGATGGAATGAGAGCAGCAGAGGAGAAACAAGAGGACTGAACACACCAAGACAAAGGGAGTACTCCAGATGAGGATTTTGGCCTAGCTGCAAAATGACCTCCAGTTAGGGAGGCAGTCAATTGCTTGGTGGTGGGTCATCACCTGAAAAGTCAGAGCAGTGGGGTACTGCTGCTTGACAGGACATGCCAAAGCTGTCACATGGGGAGTGTTTTGCTGGCTGGAAGTGCACCAGGCCACTCAGCTGGTTCACATCAGTTAACTCACTGCTCTTCTGAAGTTGGTGAGTGGTAATATCAGCAGAAGTTGTGCCTGCAGTGGTTCACACATGAGAAATAACTGTGGTGCTTGGGAGAACAACCAGGGTGTATGTGCATTGTTCATTTCCTTGGAGTTGATTTAAATTTGGATCTTACTAGCCTTTTCCTCTTTATGTGTCACTGACCATCCTGTTACCCAGAGTGGTGCTGGACAGGAGTATTTTGGGCAGCAGAGAGACCTGAATTCTGAGGTACCCAGAGTGTCAGGATAAATACAGAGATGCAGATAAATGCTGGAGCTCTGCTGTGGAACCATCAATTTTCCTCTCAGCTCTTCTCCCCAGCTTTTCTGTTCTGGAAGGACAGCACTCTTTTTGTGACCAACAGAGCTGTACAGCCAGGTTTCTGCACAAAGCAGAATCCCCACATCTCAGGTGGCACTGCTGGGGCTGCAGAACTGGGCTGGAGCTTGGCAATCAGCCCTGGTGGATCTCAGACACCTCTGCCAGGGGCTCACACAGCCTCACCTGGATAAGCTGCCCCAAACAGTGGGGAGGGATGGGTGGAAGTATTCCTGCAGGTTAGAAGCACTCCTGACCCAGCATTAGTTTTGCCATTGTATTTGCTCACTAACTGTGAAGCTTTGATCCTGCCTGTGCGTGTCACTTGTCCAAGACACTGCTTTGGAATTCATAGCACTGCTCTGGAGTCCAGCTGTGATTTATAGGTGGGTGTGAGCAGTCCATGCACCTCTTGGAGTGGAGGTTTGGGTTTGGTTTAGTGGCTGACTGGTCCATACAGCTTTTTTCTTCCCAGGAAATGTTTTAAGTGCTGTACTGGATTGGCCTTGTGCATGTGCCCTTTCAGAAGCTACAACAGAGGTACCAGGAATCTTTGTTAAGCAATTGTGAATTAATTTGCTTCTAGGGAAATTTCCACTGCTATCCCGTGCTTTTGTAAAGGAAGAGCAGGGGAAGGATTTCTTTTGCACTTCAAGTTAACAGTCCAGTTACTGGGCCTGTAATTTATTTCCTACTTCCACATCCTTTGTCCTTTCTCTGCCCAACCCAGCTCTTCTTTTCCCATCTCTCATCTCTCACCAGTTCCAGTAGTACCTGGCTCCTCTTCACTGCTCGTGTGTATTTTGACTTCACCGTTTTGCATGTGTCAGTGTCCTTCCATTCCTTATTCTGATTCTGTTGCTTCTCCCTCTCATCATTTTTTTACCCGATCCCCAATTTTACCCTCTTATTATTCCTTTTCTGCTTTCCTTTAGTCTCCATTACTTTCCTGTCACCTTTGGGTGACAGAGGGCAGTTCTCTAAAAGGCAGACTCACACCACTGCTCATATCCCACATTTCTTTTGAATGTGACTAGATATATTCTTGGCCTTAGCACACATTTTTTGTGTTGGTTCCCCCACCCCACCCCAGAAGTAACTACATTTACTGCAGTGGAAACTTAAAAATGAACTTTTTGTTTGCAGGAGCCATCTCTTTGGCCTGTTCTGTTCAGCTGGTTGTCTGTGGTTTGCTGTGGTTTTTTTCTCCTTGTTTCAATGTAGGTAATATTGGTACATGACAGAGAGACAGGCTTTCTTTTTGTTCCTCATTGTAAATTATTATGTGTCGTTGAGATGAATATTAAGTGCCAAAACATCTGTTGTTCTTTTTCAGCCTGTCCTGAAATAAAATATGTGTAATTTAGTTAGACTATTGTGGGATTCAGTGCAATGTGTATATGTTAGGGATGGTTCTGTAACTTTTCAAATATATTAAAGATTGGATTGGAATTATACAGCAAGACTCTTGTGACCACAGCCAGATTAATTTGTGGTGATTCCTGGTGAACAGACAGCCTGAGCAGAGCCTGTAGCAGCCTATATGGGCATGAATTTTGTATGGAAATTCTCATGGAAACCATGGTAGAATGCACAAAGACAGTGATCCTGTCTCATAACAGGTACATTTTATTTATATATGACAGGATGGATCACCTTTTTATTCTTCACATTTGGATGTGGAGACATGTGGAGACTCCAGGTGCCATTTTACTCTCTTCTTGATACTCTCTTTGCAAATTTTGCCATTGTTCCAGAGGATCTAAAGCAAGTACCTGTGCATGAGACACTGTTCCTGAGTCTGCAACTGTTTGCCATGTTAGGAGATCACCACAGCCCTTGTGTTTGTACAAAGTCATTGTTGTCTGAGCCACTGCAGGAGCTGAAATTGCTAAACCTTAAATTTCCCGGAGGGATCTAAATGGTTTGTGAGGGCTGATAATGGGATGGAGGCCATTAGTTCAGTCCTGATGAGGTTAGGGGTGCTTGGAAGCTGTTGGTGTCTGGTGCCACAAGCAGTGTGGAATGAGGGGTGAGCAGGAATGAGGGGTGAGAAGGAATGAGGGAGTGAGCAGGAATGAGGAGTGAGCAGGAATCGGGGTGAGCAGGAATCAGGGGTGAGCAGGAATCAGGGGTGAGCAAGAATGAGGAGTGAGCAGGAATCAGGGGTGAGCAGGAATCAGGGGTGAGCAAGAATGAGGAGTGAGCAGGAATCAGGGGTGAGCAGGAATCAGGGGTGAGCAGGAATCAGGGGTGAGCAAGAATGAGGAGTGAGCAGGAATCAGGGGTGAGCAGGAATCAGGGGTGAGCAGGAATCAGGGGGTGAGCAGGAATGAGGGGTGAGCAGGAATGAGGGGTGAGCAGGAATCAGGGGTGAGCAGGAATGAGGAGTGAGCAGGAATCAGGGGTGAGCAGGAATCAGGGGGTGAGCAGGAATCAGGGATGAGCAGGAATGAGGGGTGAGCAGGAATGAGGGGTGAGCAGGAATCAGGGGTGAGCAGGAATCAGAGATGAGCAGGAATCAGGGGTGAGCAGGAATCAGGGGGGCCATCTCCCTCTCTCTCTGTCCCCATGGCTGTCACTTGTGTGTGCCTCTCACCCACCAGCTTCCTTGCTCTGCTTTTGAGTCTGAGAGGGAGCAACTGGTGCATTTTACCTCTCTTTCCCTGGGGGTTCTCTGCCTCTTTCCTTCCTCCAAACATGAATTGCTGTCTAAATAAGTAAAAGCAGCTCTTTTTTCTTTTTTTAAAATACTTTTCTCCCTGATGTGGGCTGTATGTTTGTTTCCCTATCTGAATTAAGCACCTGGCATGCCATGAGCACCTTAGCAGCAAAGCACAAGCAGAAATACAGTGAGGAGCAATCCCTTTTCTTTCTGCTTAGAAGGTGAGAGGGCTGAACCTGCTCTTGTGAGTGGGCCTTGATGGAGCCTGACCAAGTACAAGCTTCTGCCCCAGCAGTGCCTTTAGACTGGAGTGATAAGGGAAGAGAATGTTTATGCATTGCTTGATCCTGAACTTCACACTACATGTCTGTTGCAGCCTCAAGCAAGAATGAAGGGGAAAAATATCCAGCTAAAGTTCCTAAGGTTTTGTCTGTCAGGAGAAGTTATGCTTTTCTGGTGTAGAATAGTCTCTCCAGTGCTTCAGATAAGCTGCCTTCCTCCAGCCTAAACTTTCACACACATCTAAGATGATTGTCAAATACAAAGATTTACATGCCACAGAAAATGTAAAATATCATTCCTTCCAGAACTGTTTGTCTGCTCAGTGGGGTTAAATTAACCAGCACAATGTTTGTCTTAGATCACAGTCGAGTGTTTTTTGAGCACCAAACAGGGGCCTAATCCTTTACTCAGCCATCTACAAAGGTGTCTTTTTCACACAGGCTTCTGTTTTACTTTGACCTTTTGGGCTTTTGAACAGTCTGTCCACTTCTTTCCAAGCTGTGGGAGAGAACACTCTGCCTGTGCTCTCTTGGGGAAACATCTGTTTTGTTAGTAACCACAACCAACTTACTCAGACTCTACATTTAGCTCCTATACTGAAAGTGTCAGATTGTTGTCATAGGCTGCCTCAGAAATGGTTCAGTGGTCTCTTGGATTCCCTCCAAAAAATGAGAGAATGATCTCCAGGAAAACAAAACTTTAAACAAAGTTCCTGAGACCTAGAGTGACAACACTGTATATTTTTATTTAGACTGGGTACCTCTAGGATCTTCTTGTAGAGGACACATCCATGACTTTCTCACAGAAGGAGGTAATGCAGAAGGATTTGGAATGCGGGATAGAAGAGCAGGCAGTGTGTATGTGTCTAATATGATTTGCTTCTGGAGATAATGATCCTTAATTTCATATATATATATTTATCATTTACTTCTGAGGTGCCCATGAATGAGTGCAGTTCATGTTGTTCTTTGAGGAATTTAACACAAGATGTTCTGTGCTGTGCAAGGGCACAAACATGCTCACAATAGAAGGAAGGTCACAGAGCTTCTGAAAGGCTCAATCTTTGTTCTGCACCACCTACGCAAAACAATACATGTTAGAGGCTTGGAAAAATTGATCCAACACCAATGAGCAGATGACTGAAAGGCCTCCTGGCAGTCTGATGTAGGAGAGGTCTTAGAGTGGTGCTAAAATTGAGCAAGACTCTGGTAACAGCCAGCATCAGTTTTAGAGAGAGCAAAAAGTGATGCCAGCTTACGTTACTGAAATGTCAGCATTTGTGATCAGCACCAGGAGTATATATTTTTATATTCCTTTTGTAATGCCCTTGTCTCCAAGCTCTGTATTGCATGAATGGAGAGGTTCCCTGATCGATACTGAAGAATGAACACAAAACATTTGTCAAGTTTTTGTTCACCAGTTTTGAGGGCTGTGAGGTGGCTTGAGATCTTTTTTCTCAGACAAAATTGTGATCAGTTATAGAAGTTGTGGCAAAGTCCCTGGACCATCAACTCTGCTGTGCCTCTCCGGTTTGGAATGATGTTCTTGCAATCAAATATCCACAAGAAATTCTGCTATTTCAAATAAATGCTCATGCTTATTTCTATGCTTTACAAATTTCTGTGTCTATGAACCTCTGTGGGTTGGACACTCAAGTGGAATTTTTCAAGACTAACTTCTAGACTTCCAATTTGGACACTCAGTAATCTATAGTTGCAAAGTAACTAATTTCAAAGAGTTTCTATAGGCTTTGGGATATGTGTTATGATATGATGGGGAAGTTTCTTAGAGGACTGATAGTGTAAACACCATAATATGCTATGAAAGCCGTATTTTAAGTATGTGCCTGATAACTGAAATGGTCTGTAATTCTTGGGGTTCTTTTGTCTGTGTTCTGAGCCCTTCCTGTCCTTCCCTGCTGTAAGTGTTTGTGCCATTCCTTGCAGGACTCAGAAGGAGGTCTCTACGTGTGCATGAACACCTTTCTGGGATTTGGAAGGGAGCACATCGAGCGGCATTACCGGAAAACGGGACAGTGTGTCTACCTGCACCTGAAACGGCACCTGAGACAGGTGAGACCTGTGCCTTGCCAGGGAGCCACCCCATCACTGCCCCTGTCTCTTGTGCTCATTTGGGTAATGCATTTCAGACACACAGACCAAGTCCTGAGTGACTGAAATGCACACGTTCAGATTTGGGGCTGGATATCAAATCCAGGTGCTTGGATCCCAAGCAATCCTACAGCTTCAGTTCTGAGATGAATCAAAAGCCCTAAAGAGTCAGACCTTAAAGGCAGCTCCTTCCTGACTTTTAGTGATGTTTTTCACTTCTCATTTCTGTGTATCACACACATATTGTCTGCATGTTATGTGCACATTATACATAGCTAAATATTTTCTGAAACCTGCCTTTTAAGTGTACAGTTACTGGGTTTGGCTCAGATTTGACTGGAAGCTGCTGATTTCTATTTTTCATATGAGGTTTCATCTCAGGGTGACAGGACTCCTTTTCATCCTAAGATTCCTGTGCAGTTAAACCCTGACCAGGTCTGAGATCTTAAGCTTAGCTTAAATTAATGCTGGCCCTCATTTAGCCTTTCCCCACACATGGGTGTGCATGTTCACTGCTCTTCCATACCATCATATAGTCACAAATAGCCTGTGCTTTATAAGCTCTGCTTGTCTGTGGTTTGTCTGGCATCTTTAGAAGATTTTTAATTACTTCTGACCTGAGCTATAAGGAAGGCTCTGGGTTTGCTTATAGCTCACTCTCCCATAAGCTTTGTCTCTGTTGGTAAGTTAGAGGGCTTAGAACAATAACTGTGGAGTGGGTTAAAATCCTTGTTTCTCATTCTACAGCAAGGCTTCCCCAGGGTGATAAAGGCCTTGAGTTATATAAAGTGCCCTCACCACTTACCTTATTTCCAGTAGAGGAATGTTCATATTTTATCAGAGTTACAGTGAGGTGGATTGCATATCTTCCAGGATGAGATGGTAAATGATGTTTGTTATACTTTAGAATTGCCTTGCTTCTAAGGGCAATACCAACATTTTCCTTCACTCTGTTAACTGAGTTTTTGCAGAGCCTACTCTGGTTTTAGCAGTGGTTCTTCTGACTGAATTTAACACTCCTGAAAGATGCTATCTAGAGACAGGTGGGCAAAAATCCTGTCAGCTTTCCTTGTATATAACTTTCTTCCATAAGTTCAGGTAAACTGGGGTTAAAATGAGGCCTCAAAAATTCCTTTCCTGATAAAGGTTAGGCTGAAGAACCCCAAAATGGAGAAACAAATATCCCAACTGTTGTTTGGTGTTGCAAATCCCTTTGACTGAAGAAGTTCAGTGGTTCCTGTTTTTCTCTGGGTGTATCATGATGTAGCAGAGGGGCTGGCTCTGTGCTGGAAGGTGGCAACTCACTGGTTCTCTGGGTCATGTGGCAGGAAACAGGGTTTGATACACAGTGCAGGTGAATATTGCATCATCTAATAGGGCTCATAGCCAGGATTCCTCATATATTAGCTGTGGATTTCTTTTTTTTGCCATGACTATTTTCTTCTTAAGTGCCATCCATGTTTTCCTTTGAGCAATGTGAAACATCAAGTGTTTTATGAAGTGTCTGGCACATGCTGCATTGTGGTTTTGGTTTTGGAAGCCAAGCTTTTAATGGTGTAGGATACAGTAAAGCCAAAGGCATTGGATGTGCTATCTTAAGATTCTTATAGTGAGGCTGCTATTCCTGCCTGCGGTTCCCTTGGCATCATCCTTGCAGAATGCACTGCATTGCTGCAGAAATCCCAGGTTGCTTCCCAAGAAGTTTGGAATAAATGTCATTTGTGTATCTTGTCACAATTCAATTAGAAAATAAGGGTCACATCTTCAGCCTGCTGGCTCAAGTAGAGCTGGAGCATCTGCCCATGGCAGCTCAGTACCAGAGGCCTCTGCTGAATCATCAGAGGTGGGCACAAGTTATGGAGCACCCCCTGGTAAAATTCTTAGCTAGATGAAGGAAATTGATTTTTATTTTTCCTTTTCCACAGTGTTACATTCATCAGGATTTTTAACTCAGCCTCTTCTCTGTAGTGTATGACTTTATACAACTGCCTGGGTGCTGTTCATTTCCAGGCAGAGCTTCAGCTTGTAGTGATACCTCAGCCCTGTTGAAAACCCTGGGCAGAGAAGCACAAAGATTTCCTGCAGGGATAGGTTTCTGGATGCTATCCAGGAATGATGCTGTTATAAAAAGTGAGAGACAGCAGAACAGGCTGCACTGTCACCTTGTCCAAGGAGCATCACAAATGGAATTTAGTGTCACTGCTGATGCCTCGTGTCACTCCCATTTGTTGGGTGTGTCACATCTGTTAGAAACAAAAAAAGAGTTTGTGAATGGAGAATGTTTTCAGTGATTTCTGACAAGGTAAGAAAAAGACTGTCAGGTCGTGGGTGTTTCAGGAGCATTGAGCAGCTTTGATTCTGATGTATTTTTATTTGGAAAAATCAAGCTGAAATCATTGTTAGCCTGAGTTAAATATAAGCATTCCATGTGAATTCTTTCTTCTTTGCAATCTCTAGTGTTCATAACTTTCACAATATCACACTTGGTGACATCAGAATTCAACTGGAGTTTCCTAGTATTGGAAAAAAACATTTTTTTTTTAGTTCTGGAAATACAGTCCTCTTAGAATGTGTAATTTATTCATAATGTATTTGCAATTGGGTTATGTTGTTTCTTGCTGCTGCTTTTTAAAAAAGATTTAAAATACATTTAAAATAGATTCCTGGTTACTTCCTTCCCACTTGTTAAATTCCAGTAGCATTAAAGAAAGAAATATTCTGCATGCTTTTTCCAGTTCATTGAGGAATTTTTATTTTTATTTGAACTGCTGGAGTTGCAACCCTGACTTCTCCCTAGGGCTTTTCTATGTGGATAATGGATTCTGTTCTTAAATGCAGCCAAGGGGTGTTTGTCAGCATCTGCTCTTTCTAAGAATGGAAAATTTTCCTATGATGTATAAGACCCCACTGATGATTAAAGCAGTTTGCTGAGGCCAAAGCTTTAATTTACATGGTGAAGGGAACCACCCAAAATATGTGACCCTTTTGCCTGTGAAGGGGCAGAGGCAAGCATGAACTTTCCCTGTGGGCTGACAGGTTCTTGGCTGCTTCCTCTCCACCTGTTGTATCTCAATATTATTATTAAAAAAAAAAAAAAGTTGCCTAACAACCTTGCCAGTTACACTAACATTACACACTACATCATGCATCATGTTGGCACCAAATAGCCACAGAGGCTTTTTTGATTTAATTTGATTTAATGGTGCTGTTTAATAAACAGCTTAAGGAGTGAGTGCACTGGCTTTGACATTTCCACAGTTAGTTGGGTTTTCCCTTGTAGTCTGAGGTATTCTGAACTGCAAAAGTAGTGAAACTTAATCTCATTTGGAAGTTACTGCTTTTGGCTATGGTGCTTAAATTAAAAAATACAATCAAATCCCCTACTAACAATTGCTTGAGTGTTGTCGAATTTCCTCCATACTTTCTAATATTTAGAAAATGTGGTGGTAATTTGGATTAATGGAATTAGGTGTAGATCCTGATGGAAAAGACCTTTTTTTGTGGATAGAAGAAAATGAACCCAACTAACACATCAAAGCAAAGTCGTCCTACTGGAATCAGTTGTGAAGGGTTGGATCCTTTATGCAGATAATTGCCTTTTCTTCTCTCCAACTAGGCTTTAGTCATTGAGAAATACTGTTGGGGATCTAGTGGAGAGAGGTTTGAGTGGTGTCTCTGGGTGTCTCTGCCTTGGTGGCAGAACAGCTGCCACCCATGGTGGCTGTGGGACACCCTCTGATCAATTTGCCAGCAAGCCAAGAGTGAGGGACTCAGGTGGAGGCTCCCTCTGTCCATGGGGTGCTGGGCACTGATGAGTCCCAGAGTCAGAGGGGAGCAAAGAGCATTTGCATCCTTGCTCACCAAGGACTGGTTTGATGGGAGGGGTTGGTGCAGATTTACTCTTGTCTCACTTGATGGATTTTTAATTGTTTCTTTCTCTCTTTCCAGAAGGTACCAGGAGCATCTGGTGGAGCTTTACCAAAAAGGAGGAATGCTAAGCTATTTTTAGGTATTGTGAGCAGCTGCTTTCACACAGTCCTTTTCTGACCCTGTCTGCATGTGGACTTGGGTTCTGCCCACCATTGTGTCTGGCTCTGGGGCTCCTTTTGGGTTTTCATTTCCTGCTGTTTGTTTTGGTTTTCTTTTTAACTTCTGGTTGTAGATTTTAAAGGTTTTCCAGGCAAATAAGTGTTTCTTAACCATTTTGGTGCATACTGAAAGATGTGTTTATATATACATGAAACATTTTAATGTAAAATAGATCCTCAACTATTCTAAAACAGCCTAGGCTTTGAAAGGCACTTTTTTACTAATTCTGTCCATTCTCTCTCTCAGGAATTTCCAAAAAAGCACTCTTTTATTAGAATGTTGGCCCATACTTAATGTTTAGATTTATTAGGGCCTCAGTGTGGCTCTGTTCTGCTCAGCAGCTGGTCATAGGAAGGGTTGTTACCATTTTAAACTTGTTACACAGGTAGATGTTCTTCAGTGATGTTGTGGTCTCTCCTGTAATGAATACAACTGCACATACACCATGACCATCTCTGATTCTGTTATGTCCACAGTTCTATTCCCTTGCTTCCTGGAAAGCAGTTTTCTTACCATACCCATATCATCCAAAATCCATTTATTCAGATTACCCAGAAAACCTGAGTGACTCATAAATATGGATGAGGAGAATGTGATGAAAAGCCTGGATTCTCTCTTCTCCCACAGCTTGTGGTGTTTCTCCAATTCATCTATTATTTATTGTCTCTGTATTAATAGTGAATAGTGAATTTTTCTTCAGGTAACGAAAAGGTGGAATGTTTTTTTTACAATTGCCAGCTCTTATGGCTAAAGAGAAACAATAGAATGACCTTCTGCTGGGATTGCTTTGATCTGTGGAATGTGTCCCTAAGAGGTCTTTGCAGATTGTGATTGATTAAATTGTTGTTGTTAATGTAAATAAGTCTTGCAAGGAGGGCTGAGAAAGAAAAAAGACTGAAAATGAGTCATAAAAAAGTTAAACTTGTAGGAAGAGACTGTTGCATCACAGAGGCTGCTCTAAATGCCATTTACTGCCAGTTTACATTGATAATCATGATTGTCACTGGATGCTTACAGAATAACTGGTTCAGAAACAAAGCTGGCTGCAGTGCAGCAGTGGTTGTACAGTGTTAGCAATGTGAGTGTAAATACAAAGTACAAAAGCACAATCAAATTTTGTTCTTGCTGATCTTCTGCATACACCTGAAGGCCCCTATCACTGAGGTGTGCCAGCACAAAGGGTACCAGCAGAGGGTACATTTCAATGTGCCACGTTGAAATCCTCAAATTCCACCCTTGTGCATGAGCATTTGAGTAGGTCTTGAGCAGCAGTTCCAAGGGAGCTCTTGAGGGCAGTGCAGTTTCACTGGGGTGAGTTTAGGATGTGGATCTATCCCATTTCATCCAGCACTTCTGGAATCTAATGCACTTTTGAAAATGTGTCTCCTCTGGTCTATTGTTCTATGCAGCCTTCATTGCAGCCCCTGCTGGCTGGCAGTGAACTGCTACCAGGTCTGCTCTGTTCCTGGAGGCAGTACTTCCATGCTTCCACATGCACTGTGTCCACTTCTTTGGATCAGCACATATCACTGGTTTTGGCCATGCTTAAAGCAAAGAACAAAGATTATTCCTGTCCTTCTTCACAGCTGAGGAAACAAAAGCACAGAGAGGTGTCTGATTTGATCATTTTGCATGTGACAGCAGCAGAGGTGGTTAGCAAAATTTGGTGTCTTATCTCTTAATCCAACATATTTTTCATTGGTTCAGAACTGCTGATCTCATCTAAACAAGTTGTTTTAATTCTGTCTTTCTCCTTGTGACCTTGGGCACTATCACAGAATGGTTGGGATTGGAAGGGACCTCTGGAGATCATCAAGTCCAATCCCCTGCTGGAGCAGGTTCATGTAGAACAGGCTGCTCACAATCCTATCCAGGCATATTTAATATCTCCAGAGAAGGACACTCCATGAGCTCTCCTGGCAGCCTGTTCCAGTGCTCTGTCACCCTCAAAGTAAGGAAGATTTTTTCATATTTAGATGTAACTTCCCATATTTCTGGGCACTGCTGGAGAGAATCTGGCCTCATCTTCTTGACAGCTGTCCTGAAGATATTCTGTGCCCTGATAAGATCCCTCTCAGTCTCTTTTCCAGGCTGAACAGGCCCAGCTTGTCCCCATCAGAGAGATGCTTCAGTCCCCTAATTATCTTTGTAGCCTTTCAGTGGACCCTCTGCATCAGTTCCCTGTCTTTCTTGGGCTGGGGAGCCCAGAACTGATGGAATACTCCAGGTGCAGCCCCACCAGGGCAGAGTAGAGGAGGAGGAGGAGGAGGATGATCTCCCTTTTGATCTGCTGGCCACACTGTTCTTAATGCCCCCAGGATACCTCTGGCCTTCTTAGAGGACACAAGGGCACTTTGCTGGCCCATGCTGAATTTATCCTGGCTGGTACAACCCAGGTTATGTGACCTGCCAGGTAGGGCTTACCCTGGCAGACAAAACCAGACAAGGATCAGTGGCTAACTCCAGCATCTCTCTGTTCCTCATGTCTATCAATAATTCTCTGAAGGCCCAGAGCTTTAAGCTTTGTGTACAAAGTCAATCCAGTTTGAGCATTTGTTACATTGCTTGTTATAATCCTCTTTGATGTAAAACTATTAAAGATACTAAACCCTTTTCAATCTCCTTAGTATTAGGAAAACATCTTTTGGATGCTCACTGATTACTTTCTAGCACTGCTGCTATCTAGTAAATGCAATAGAAACACAGGCTGCAACAGGCCAGTCAGCTGCAATATTTATCTTTCCCTAAACATGAGCATGTTTTGGTTTGGTTTTCTTTGGAGAAGGCTGGAGGGTGTTGGCTGTGAGTGTTCTGTGTAATCAGGAAGCATAACAGCATTGTTTATTGAAATGTATGAGCTGCCTTTAATCTGGCTGGTTTAGGTGTTGCTAGACAGTGTGGACATGACAACTTCAGCTCAGGCTGTGCAGTGTTTCAGGGAATTTGGGGTGATATTTAAAGCAGACTGTCTATCTCAGTGCCTTTTGTGTGAATAAGAAAAACTCAGTCAATGGGGTGTACTGTGATCATCCTTATGAGCTTCTGGTCAAAAGGGGTGGCAGAATTAGGGGGAAGATTCTTGTGCTGAAGGGATTGGAGGTCCAATTTTTACCATAATTAGCAGCAGAGTCCCCCTGAACATACTATCCCAGGAGTTAGAGCCTTTCAGAATGTTCTAATGATGAAGAATTAATGCAATGTAAATAGTCTGGAAAGGGATTGAAAATTGGAGAAACTGAGTTTGCTGGTTTATTTAAAATTACCTAGAGTTAAGTCTAAAAGTGATTTTAAGGTGTTACTGAGTAACTGAACAATAGATGAAGTAGTCGAAAGATGCAAAGTGTACAAGAGAGGTGCTTGGAGTGTGTGTGCACAGAGATGTGGTCCCAGTTGCTGTTGCTGCTCAGAGAGGTGGTTCTGAGAGAGAGATGGGGCAGATGATTCTCTCAAATGTCAGCTCAGTTGTCAGCAGCAGTGGGAGGTTTAAGTGGAACACCAGTAAAGCAACACTTTATATTTTGTTCTCTATCATTTTGCTTTATAAATGTAAATCAAACCTCTCTTTTGAGTAGCAAAACTGCATCTACACACAGTATCTCCCCCTATTTCCTTCTCCAAAACCAACCAGCAAACACCATTCCCCCTCACCCCCAGCAAACACCTCAAGTAGATATTTGAACTCTGCATTGAGGGAGGAATCACCCCATTTTTGCCTGGCTCTGGTGCCCTATTCCTGAGCATCTGTTGGTCCATGCCAGAGCCTGGACTCCTGACTATACAGACCTGGCAGAGTGACTGTCATAAAACTTGTCCCCAGACAGATGTCCTGTCTCAGATTGGTTGCCAGAGCATCATCTGCCACTGCAGCAAGCTGTGGCAGCTGTTTTGAGCAAAGTCAGAGCTAACTCAGACCATCAATTAAAAGTGTTTTGAAGTCCTCAGATGAACAGCTCTGTCAGCAGATCTGTGATTGCTGCTGGGGAGAGTATCTGTGACACTCAGCAGGTCTCAGGACACCTTGGAAAGGAAAACTTCCACTTGGAGAGTCTGGGAGAACTTGAAAACTTGCTGAGCTTTTCCTGGATGGCACCTCCCTGCTGATGGCAGAGGATGGACTCACAGCTACAGTTTCCAAGTGTAAAGACCACTCCTAAGAGTGGCTGTACTGGATTTGACCACAGCTTCACTTTGTTCTCCCCGGAGCAGAACGCTGTTTGCAGTAAGGATGTTTTTGTTTGGAGAGCTTCTGAAGAGGGCTTTTACCATGAGTGCTTAAAGTTTATATTTATGTGAGTAAGCAGAAATAGAGTATCTGTATCTGTGAATGAAAAGTTGTGATGTAGGGGAACTTAAGCATTTCCTGACAATATTTCTGCAATTTAGCCCAGTAAAATAGTGCATGTTCCCCAGCAGCAGCAGTAGAACTGATTGGCTGTTGCTTTGTAGCTTTGCCATGTGTGCTTGAATTGAGTACAGGATGGTGAGCAGATACTTACACTAACAGATTCTTAATAGTTTGCTGTTTTGGGTAGAACTGTGAAAATTAGACTAGATTAACACAGGCTAATGCTGCTGTCAAAAACAATTCTGAATTTGAATTTTTATGGTTTAATTTTGCTTGCTTAACATGTGACTATCCTAGAAATGCAAGGGACGAGGTCTTACCTAGTAGTAGAAACAACATAAAAATGCTTTGGAGATGTAGCAAGCAATTTGAATGTTCTTTTACAAGTAGTGAATCAGCCAAATGATCCTTGTAGAAAGTTTTACTTTTTATTTTTCTGCAAAGGAAAATGTTATGACTGGAAAAAAAAATTTAAAAATTCTTCAGTTTTATAATTTATCTGATGAAGCTAAAATTCAAAACAAATTAACTGAGTAAAACAAAACAAATGCATGAAAACAAATTAACTGAGTAGCTTATACTTTGTGAAGTGCTGCTGCTGCAATTCACTATTCTTTAGAGGCAGGAAGAAGTAGTTTGATTTAAAGACCCAGGTTTCCCAGCTCAATACGAATTTGTCCATTGCTTTCAGCAAGAGCAGGATCTAGCCCAGATTCCTAAGATGTCTTTCTAGGGTTTCAAAATTAGTTGTAGACTTGCTAGTCAACACCCTCATTCAATTTTCACGTTTGCATTCCCTTTCACACGCACACAGACACATCCACATGCACAGGAAATCCTCTTTGGGGGTCCTGTCTGGAGTCTTTTATGCCCCTATTATTAGTGCAGTCAGTTGGTAACTTGTCTAAATCTGATCTGGACACATCCACTCCTCCTCTTCCCCTCTGCTGGGTTGGTTTACATTACAGTAGTGTCTCTCCCAGCTGCTGTTTTCAGTCAGTTCAGCAGCAGCACATTCTCAGCGTCACTCAGTGATGCCTTGTGAGGTGCAGTAAATTTACTCTACTGACCACTCACCCAAAATATCGGCTTCAGTTGAGCCTCTGCTTTGAGATGTCTGCTGCTTTGCTTTGCCTGCCCTCCCAACACAGCACTGGCAACCTGTGGATATTTGGTTTTGGTGGCCAAAGTGCTGAGCTGAGGCTCTCAGGAGGCACCAGAATTGTGTTACTCCACTGGAAGGGAAATGATGTCCTGTGGGCCTTGACCATCAAGCTGTCACTCCGTGGAAGGATTACAGACTGGCTGGTTGTCTTGTGGCTCAGTCTCAGAACTGAGTAAAGCCTTTTCTTTTGCCTTCTACTCACAGTGCATCTTGGAAGATCATCCTTGATCAAGAAAGAACTTTGGATGAAGTATAGTGCTTGAAAGTTCATGCTTTTCCATGTCTTTAGTGGTAATTTTTAATCAAATATGCTCCTTTTGCAAGTAGATTTCACCCTAGTCCTCTTTCCTGTAGTTACTCTTAGTCCTCCCTAAAATTCTGCACTAGAAACTACCTGCATATTGCACATGATGCCCAGTGGCTTCAGGGTCAAATTCTGTCCACATTTAGTGTGGGCTCCATTGCCTTCTAAAGTCACAGTCATCTGTTTTTATCACTTCTGCCCTCATGCTGTCTCAGCCTTGCTGGCCCTTGCACAGGCACAGAAAATATAATGCAGCTACAGTTTCTTACCAAACTTAACAGCTATGTTTCTCAAGCCAAGATTTAAATATATGATTGGTGATCTGGGAGTTTTCAGGTGACATCATTAAGGGGTCCCTCTGTGCCTAAAAGGGATTAGTTTATATGGTCACCTGCTCTGTATGGAGGGATTTCAGCCTGTGACCTTAGAAGTCCATTCCACTCTTATGTACTGGATCTGGACTCTGAGAAACTGTCTTCAGAGTGATAAGGCAGTGCCTTCTAATTCCTAGTCAGAGGGAGTAGGTGTTGGGTGGAAGTGTACCAGTTTTAGGTGGTCACCTTCAAAAGGGGAGTTTTAAATCCTCATGGTGTTTCCCAGGACTGTTATGAAGCTTTGTGCATCCTGTAAAATAACAAGTGGGTGCTGCCATATCGGTATGTCAGGCAGAAGGAGTCCCATGCTGATGGGACATTGTTTTCTGCTTTTCTGCTGGTATGAATGGCATGAAGCCTGAGCAGTAAAAAGGAAATTCCCTTCCCTGCCCGTTGCCACAGGAGGCTGGTGCTCCTAAGCATGTGGAGTCCTTAGATGACAGCAGATGATTGCTAATAGGATCCTCTGCCTTTCATCCCTGGATCACTGGTTCAGATGCAGGTCAGGCCAGCAGCACTGAGTCTCTGCTGTTTGGCTGCTGTCTGGCTGGGCACGTGAGCTGCAGCGTGTGTCTGAATTTTGAACACAGGGCACTGTAGCATTGCTGTTTCTATAAGGGGCTTGCAGGTGCTTTAAGTTAATGTCCAGAGCACAAGGCAGTGAAGATCAGCAGGTGTCACACAAGTCCCCAGAGCCCGGTGGCTGCTGTGAGGTGGTGCCAGGTTCCCTCTGGTGGCTGAGGTACTGTGTGACCACAGTTCACTGCCTCCAAACCCGAGCTTTTATCCTCTCTGAGGAACCTCTCTCCCGTTTAGGAGGTGGTCAGTACTTTTGGCTTTGTTGTGCTGGCCACCATCAAATGTCTGGCATTAAGTGAAAATCCCCTGAGATGCGTTGTCGTGTGCACCATCAGCTTGGGGATCTTCAGTTTCCTTGTTCCACAGAGCAAAAGAGCTGTTAAAAACTGCAGCTGTGGAGATTCACTCCTGTATCAAACACAGGACTGTAATACAAACTGAGAAAGAAGCCTGGAGTAAAGTGAAGGATCATTATGAAAATGGTGTGATTTGGGGAATTAGTAATGAATGAATGTCTCTAAAAATGTCACGCTTTCAGTGTGAGAAAATGTTCTTGCTTTTGTCTCTATGTTGAGCTGATGAGAAAGGGCTTTTTTGGTTGCTGGTGAGAGAGAGTTCATGGTGCTGAAGTCACTGACAGTGGGTGCTGTCACCTCAGGACTGGCTGGTGCAGCAGGTGAGCCAAGAGTTGATGTTCCTCTCAAGAGCTGTTCTTTCCAGGTCAAGCTAAAATATTTTTTGATACTTGTTTTATCATTTGGCTTGCTCAGTCTGTTACTGCTCTCTGGGAGCTCAGTTTTCTGAATCTGGCTTCTGTCATCCTCACCTCTGTCCCAAACATACATTTGAGATTTCAGGCATTCCCAGGGTGCAGTGGTTGCTGCCAATGCTCGTTTAGGATCGAGTGACTCATTAAGCATCTGCTTGTACTAGGGGGGGAATTAAGAGCCAGCTTTGGCTACTGCTACACATCTCTTTTTTTGGTTGAACCTTATCCTGTCAGTGACTGGTACATCAGAATACAGTGGATCCCACAAGTCCAATGGGAGAAGGATCCAGAAAATCCCGTTGTTGGCTGGGCAATTCTTGCAGTCTAATCTTGCAAAATTTCTGACATGTGCATGTTTGGTTTTCCATTTTTCATTTGTCTTAGGAAGAACAGAACAAGGTTTTACTCAGTCTTGTCACTATGTGATAATTAATTAATAATTATATTTTTCATGCAGCTAGACACACAAACACTAACCATTGAATTCCCAATATACCCTTCTGCTTCTCTATGGGTCCACATATTTCTGGGCAAACATTTTAGCTGATGTTGCTTGATCAAGGCTCATATTTAAGAAAAGAAGTCATTCTTACACTGTAAGGAAAATGTACACAAACACTGTGGAAGGCTTGATCTTCAAAGGAAAGCTTTAGAGCTAACGAGTGCTTTTTAAACAATAGTTACCCTGATTAAGGAGTGGAGTTAGCAAGAGAGGGATACTGTTGGTGTTACTGTACATGCTGTAGCTATTTGAGACTATGGATGAGACACAGGAATACTTCCAGCCATGGACATCTTTCTGGGAGGAAAGGCCACAGGTCCAAGATGGATGGGAGCCACAGCACGTTTCAGACAGGTCTGTGATCTGGAAAATATGGGGTGCTCTTTTTATTTGTCCTCTGCAATTTGGGCATGTGCAGTGCCACCTGGTCTCCATGCTTTATAGCATTTCAAGATTCTGGGTAAAAGGCACAGCAGTATGGCATCCTGATTTTGTCTAAAAGGAGCAGAATTTTGTTTGCTGCTTTGCAGAATGCAATGTCTTCAACAGTGCACTGCTTGCAGAGAGGCCAAAACATTCTCTTGAAGGATGGTGAGATTTCAGTTTAGATCAGGGTTTCACAAATATTTCTAGCTAGAGAAACCACTGGCTGATGGCAGGCAAGCAATGTTTATAGTGGTACCCCTGTCACAGTTTTGGAACCTGGATCATGGGACAATCTCCTAACATTGCCCATCTTGTTTTCCAGATCTGGAGATAAGCAGTGATCTCAACAGTGATGACTTTGAATATGAGGATGAAGCAAAACTTGTTATCTTTCCTGATCACTATGAAATCGCATTACCCAACATAGAAGAGCTACCAGCACTGGTCAGTGGGTGTGTGGAAGTGGTTGTAGGAATTATCTCCTGTTTCTGTTTTTGTCAAGATGGTGCCTTGTTTTCTTATGTGCAGTGCTTGTTTCGACATAAAGATTATTCTTTACCAGGTATAATAGAGTCTCAGTCATTTAAAAAAGTGATCTTTGCCTTTGTTTCTTGAATTTCCTTCTATCTCCTGTATTCCTTCCCTTACTATGGTGCCAGCTTGTCCTAGGAAAGCTCACATAGCACACGTGCTTACTCTCCTGCTAAAATAATGACGACAGTCTAAAAGATTAGATGCATATTTGAGTATATAAATAGTCCTACTGATAAGCAGTTCTGTATGTGGTTAGCAATAGGCTGAATGCCAGGTTCTGTGCAGTCACTGAGTCGTGTCAGGCTTTGACTGACATCCATTTGTCTTCCAGGTGACGATAGCTTGTGATGCACTGCTCAGTGCAAAATCACCCTACAGGAAGCAGGAACCTGACTCCTGGGAAGAAGAGCTGCAGGCATCTAAACATGCTAAAACACTTGTACAGTTAGACAATGGTGTTAGAATTCCCCCCAGGTGAGGGCAACAAAGTTTGTTCACTGTAGGCTCTCTAATTCAGTCGAGGGTAACTGAACTAAAGGCAGGAACTCAGCCCACGGTTCCCTTGCGTGACTCTGGCCTGGGCATGTGGGTTGGTTTGACCTGCCATCATGGGAGACGCAGAGCTGGCTCCTGCCTTACAGACTGCTGCTGTTTCTCCCTGTTGTGTGTGGCAGTGGTTGGAAGTGCTCCAGGTGTGACCTGCGGGAGAACCTGTGGCTGAACCTGAGCGACGGCTCCGTGCTCTGCGGGAAGTGGTTCTTCGATGGCAGCGGGGGCAACGGGCACGCCGTGGAGCACTACAGGGACACAGGCTATCCCCTGGCAGTGAAGCTGGGAACCATCACTCCTGATGGAGCAGGTCAGCCTCAGGCATGCTCTGACATGAGGTACCTCCTGTGCACGAGGCTGACTGTGTGTGTCTATTACCAAGGGGGTTTGTGCTTCTAGTGCACGTGTTTGAGTGTGGAAGTGTAGCCCCACGTTTCTCTTCACAGAGGAACGTAAGGCACATCTTCCCAAGAATATTTCTGGGATTCACATTCTCTGAACCTCAGAGAAAGAAAAGACAATTCTCATCATTTGCTGTGCCTGTGTTTGTGCAAAAGCAGAATGCAATATGGAGATTGTTTACCCAAAGTGATGGTGTTTTGTTTCCTTGGCCGATCAGGGCCAAGAGTGTGTGTGTGAGTCGGGACTGTCAGCTGACAGTCACGAGATTCTGTGCAGTGTGTGCAGTTGTGTTCAGGGTTGAGTGCTTGGCCCATTCAGTTTTAGATGTATAGAACAATGTAGTATAATAAAGTAATTAATTGGCCTTCTGATAACCATGGAGTCAGATGCATCATTCTCTCTCCCTCACCAATGTCGGAGTCACCGTTGATTTGCAATATGGAAGGAAGCTCTGTGAGTCTGTGAATGTTGATCAGGGTTGAGGGGAGTGACACACACTCCATTCTGAGAAAGCCCATACCTCTTTTATCTGCTTATTTTATATTTTCCATAAATATTTTTGGAGTATTTGCATAATACTAGGCTTATAACATAACAATGGTGTTAGTCTGAAAGAACAGACTCTACAGAAACAATATTTTTTAGTTCTGCTACATTTCCTAGGACAAATGGTTCATTTTTTTGTAACAAAGAAACAACAGCAGGGTAATGAGCTTTTTAAATTTAAAAGTCTGTTTGTAACAGCATGTATGGGTTTTTTAATCATAGTGGAAACTCCTCTTTTTCCTTGTTGAACAAAATGTTGCTGAAACAGTCTAATGAACACTCATCTTCATGGGGCTGCTGTGATGCTCGTTTGTAAAATGTGTGATGATCTTGAGAGGGGGAAAAAAGCTGTAGCTGTATCCTTGTTTGCATATTCTCCAAGTGTGATGTTCTGCAGTGCTGTTGCAGAGGGGATTATGGTGTGTGAGGATTAGATGGAATAAAAACATGAGGAGCTGAAAAAGTCATAAGCAAAGAGATCTTTTGTTGCAGCTGCATGGAGAAGTAAAAATGGAAGAACACATAGCATGATTATATTTTGGCTTTAGTGCTTATGACTACAGAAATGAAAAATTGCTGTCTAGAGCAGCCCCTTTTTTTAACAAGCATCAGTTGAGAGCTTTTCTGAGTCCTATTCAGTGTTGAGGAAAGGCAACTGTAGTCAGATTCAACCAGCTGTGCCACAAAAACACTAAGCAAAAACCATTTTTTTTTCTTTCCCAGATGGAATCTTATTTCCTTGCATGAGCCTGGCCTTGGATGATTTCTCTCCAAATCTCTCAGTTATTGAAGGTGTTTAGGATTTGCCCAGCTGTAGCTTTCTTGCATCTACAAAACAAACAGCATATTCTGTAATGCGGGTTTTTTTCAGAATTTTTTCTTTTCTTTCCCATCTTTAGCAGCAATACTTGCTTCCTTATGGCTTCTGTCCTTGTGCCTCCCACTGATCAGCTGCTTCCTCTCTTATGTGGCCTTTGGGATAACAAAGGACAGGCTGTCATCCTTCCCTCTGAATGAGAGGCACCAGCTGTTCTCCACAGACCTTTGTTCTTCTGGATGATGTTTACTTGGTTTCCCTATAGAAAAGTCTTCCCTCCCCCAACCTTCCTTGTTCCTTCTCAGTAATTATTCTGTCTCTGATCTATATTTCTGTAGTACTCATAACCCCTTGATGGGGCTGGGTGATAGATGAGCTTCAGGAAAGCTCATCTGTGGCTGATGGTGATACAAAATCTGTCTGGTTTTGCTTCCCTGGGTTAAAGGTGAAGAGGTGATGGTACAGGAGTAATAAGCACTGGTCCCTCTCCTGACATAATTTATTCCTTTTTCACAGCAGTAGGAAGGAGAAGGAGGTGGTGCCACTGTTCCACTGCCACTCACCTCATGTGTACACAGAGGAGAGCTCTTTGTCTTGCCCTGAGAAATCTGTGCTGTGTACACTGTGAAAGGTTCCTGAGCTTAGCCCCATTTTGTAGCACTCTGTCAGCAGACACATCTGGGATCAGGGCAGAGACTGAACCAAGCTTCTCTTCCACTCTTGTACCTTGGACAGGACACACCAGGGAGTCATAAAGGTTGTTTTCCTCAGTAGGCTGAGCACTGGGCAGGCTGTGCTGCCTGCTGCCTCTCTGACAGTGCCACTGGATTTTATTTCCAGTCACTGTGAAGTTGCTTGTTTGGAATAGATTGGAGCATGGAATTGGGCACTGGCAGTGGCAAACCCCTTGTGACTGTTCCCTGAAGGAGCTGCTTTGTGGATGCTGAACTATCTTAGCAGTTGTCAGATACTTTTGGGGGTATCCTGAGCCACTTCTTTCTTTAGGGACACTGTTACCATTGCCTGTTACCATCTAAGTAGGAAGGAGAGATTTCTGAACAGCCAGAACACGTGTAAGTCTTGAGCTGTGGAAGAGAAGGAAGTCAAGTAGCATGGACATTTTTATTTTCTTAAAATAATATGGATCATAAAGACTATTACCAGGAAAATACTATTATCAGGAAAAAGTTTTCCACCCAGGGGATGGTTGGGTACTGGAAAAATCTCCCCAGGGAACTGGTTACAGCACCAAGCCTGAGTTCAAGATGTGTTTGGGCACCATTCTCAGGCACATGGTGGGACTCTTTGTGCATCCTGCATAGGGTCAGGAGTTGGACTGGATGATACTGATGGGTCCTTCCAACTCAGCACATTCTATGACTTTTTTCTCTGTTTAATAATATTCTGTGTTGCCTGTCTCAGATTTATCTTGGTGGGTTTTTCCCCCTTCCACTCCTCCATTTTTCCCCTTTCTCACTCCAATGACACCAGGTTCTCGTGTGTCACATTTGCTGACTTGTCTACATTCCTCACCTACCAGAGTCTGTATGACAGCATTGCACACCTGTGTTTGCTGCTCTTATCTTCTGCCTTTGATTTTTGAAACAAGTGAATTCTGTCCTTTACCCATGAATTTAAGCTACACAGCAGAAAGCGCTGAAGTAAGGCATGAGCTGGGCTTGAGCACAATATCAGTCTCATGCTCTACTCCTGCTGCTCTGGGCCAGTAGTCCCAGGTGATTTGCTCTCTGCGGTTGCCAGAGCAGAGGGTAAACAATATCCAAAGCTTCCACACTGCAAGCAGTCACCCAAGCTCTGTTGCTGTGTAATCTCACTCCATGAGGGGTTTGAACTTTCTGGGATCCTCTGGCTGTGCTGTGACCTCAGCAGAAAGCTATGGGAACGTTGTGATGCCATGTGTGTGGATGAACAGTCATGTCTTCTGGGTGCATTTGCTACCACACAGTGGAATCCCAGCAGATGGGCAGCCACAGCCACGCAAATGCCACAAAGGTCACGGGCACCAATGTTAGTGGGGCATCTGCTGGCTGGTCAGCAGCTGGCAGCACAGCTCAAAGCACAGCTCCCTGCTCAGAGAGGTTTTCCATAGTACTGGTCAATGTTAGAAGTTAATGTTTGAGTTCTTGGCTAACCTTCAGTCTATCATTTCAGTGGGGGTTTGCTACTAGCACACCTCAAGGAGAGGTCTTTTGGGTTAAAAAGACCATTGACTTTTGTTAAAGGGGTGGGCTGAGTCAGAGCCAGGGACTGCAGCTGCCAGGAGAGGCCAGGGTGAGGAGCTTCCAGAAGTGATATTTGTGCTGTGAACAGCCTTCATCTGTGCTCCTGCTATCTCCTCCTGAGTTTGCTTCTTTTCCCTTCTCCTGGCTAAGCTTTCTCTGCCAGCCTAGGTCTGGTCTTATGGAGCAAGGTCACTGTGAGAAGCTTCTGGGCATGGAGGGAACGTGCCTGAGGGAAATGCAGGGAGGCTGGCACAGGGGTTCTGGATTTTGGTATGAGGAGACACCAAAGCAGTCATTGACTACAGAGGTACAGAAAGCCTGTTCAAGTCTTACCAGCGCATCTCTTACAACTTCTAGCCTTGTATGATGCCTACAGCTTTATTGTTATTTGTTCATGTAGGTGAAACCTGCTCTGAACTCAGTGTCATTATAGGAGTTGATGGGTAAACTCTAAAAAAAGAATGTTTTTACTCTCGATTTTTTTTTGTCCTTCTTTTGGATTTATTAAACTTGGTTTCATATTGAAAATATCATCATTAGGCATGCTGCTTCCCTTCACAATCTGAACTTTGCCCTGCCAGAATATTTATGAGCTTTTACTTAAGGCTATAAAGGTCTATCATAGAGAACTGAAATCTAAATCTCCCATACAATAAAGCAAGACACCTCACTCAGAAAATCAGCCCTTCTCCCTAACCACAAGGTTAGATTAATCTTGGGAGTCCAATCCAGTGGTGCATAATCAAAAAAACCCCTCCTTATTCTAATAAAGAATTTCTTTGTTCTTCCTGCATCTCTGTGTGAAAAGGGCAAAAGTGGATTTTGTAAACTGTACCAAAAATTAAAATACTATTGTCAGTAGTGAGTTGGTGTGATACACTCACAGCTTTAATGGATCTGTCTGTATCTCGTAGCTCTACAAAAATTCATAATCTCTTGTTGTCATGTTCAAAATGTGGGCTGGCTTTGCATGCCCTGTTCCTTGCATCCCCTACATATTGCTTATTTCAGGGAGAGGAAATACTATAATCCCTATAAATGTTTTTAGGTTTTAATACTGTGGAGGCATATAATTTCTTTTGAGGTGATTGTGTTAAGATATTTACTGAGCTGTGTGTTTGTCTGTGCACTTCTCTGCTGGCCAGAACCAAACTTGGAGAATATGAACAAGGCATTTTGTATGGGCAGCCCTGTGCTGAGAATGCAGTGTTGGTAACCAAGAAGGGATCACATGTGATACTGGGGCTCACTGGTTTCTCTCTGCTTTTGCAGATGTCTATTCCTTTGATGAAGAGGAGCCGGTTTTAGATCCACATATAGCAAAACACTTGGCACACTTTGGAATTGATATGCTGCAGATGCAAGTGGTAGGAAATCCATCTTTTTTATTTAGCTTGTTGTTCACTTCTTTGTTCACTTGGAGAGAAACAGGAGAAGAATGACACCTGTAGCTTATTTGTGATTCCTTCAGACAGTTACGGCAGTATTCAGTTTTGTAAAGTTCAGCCAGCTAATTTGGGGGTTACTGTCAGACATCTGAGTAAATCATTGCTCTCAAATCCAAAAATTGCCTTCTGAAAGAGGTACCTTGTGGTCTTTAGTTTGCATTTTTCACTTTTTCTGTGTGATGTACTCTTTGACTTCAAGATGAAAAACCTTATCGAATTAGAGAAAAATGTCTGGAATTAGAGTGAAGGAAAGCCTATTGAATGTGTAAACAGATACAATTCATAAGCAAAAAGAAGCTAAGCAATGGATAAGTTAAAAAGTGGCTGAAAGTTATTTATGTAAATTTCAGTTTAGGTTTTGTCAATAAATAATTAGAAAATGAGAAAAATACTTTCTCTCAAGTCTAGAAAACAGCATGGTCAAAGGTGTGACATGCTAGAAAGGGACTGGGGAAGAAAAGGTTTCTCTCTGTGTGTCTGTATTAGTAAAGAAGTGCTTTTAATAACTTGTGTTGTACTGGATGTTGATTCCAGTTCTCTTTAAATGGTGTAGGAAATCAGAACAGGATATGCTTATAAAGCCAGGTGTGGTTTTTGTGGTTGTTTTGGTTTTTTTTTTGGTTTGTTGCTTTTTGGTTTTATTTTTTTAACCCAAGCATATAACCTAGTGTCGTTACCTGGAGAACATGAAAATGTTAAAAAGGAAAAAACTTGCTCCTGGTTAAGTGTATTTCATTGTCTAAGTGGTGAGAAAATGATATTAATTTAAATGATAGAGAAGAGTTAAACTGTGTTTTCAAAAGTCTTCATGATACTAAGAAGATTTTGGTGTACTGATGTCCTTGCCAGGATCACGAATAAGAAGTTTCTTTTATCCAAATCATTCTGAAAAGCCTGCCTTTACTCAGGAGCCTTGAAAACCTATCTTAGCTGTTGCAAAGGTTTCACCTCTGGTCTTTGGTCTGTACAATTCTTTGAGAAGTGACAGAGCAGTGCCAGCAGTAAATGACACTATGGTGACCTGCACCTACAGGCTGAAGGCTGAGTGTAAAGGGGAGAAACTTCAGTGTCACAAATTATTGGCTTTTACCATTTGAAAGAAGGGAAGAGTTCTTGGATCTGCTGCTTTTCATGTGGTTTGTTTGTTACGAGCAGCTTCTACAGCAGCAGCTATTCCTGACCATTACAAATGGAATAGGAACCCTGAAAAAATGCAGTGTTTGATGCTGAGGCTGAGGTCACAGGCCTGAGAGAAGTGAAGCTCCCAGCTGGGACTGGGGTCACGACTGGGAGCACTCAGTGCCAGTGGCTGTGCTAAAGAGCTAAGGGTGTATTGGAGGAGCAAACTGCTGGCTTTCTGACCCTCATCTTCCCCTACATGCAGGATTTGCCTCCCCTTGCCCATTGATTTGGCTCTTCATTTCTTGGAGTATAGCTCACAAAGTAAGTGGCAGCAGCATAATTATGGCAGAAGAGACTAAGGTGAAAATCTTGTTGCTTTCAGACAGACAACGGGCTAAGAGATAATGACATAAAGCCAAGAGTCTCAGAATGGGAAGTGATTCAGGAAGCTGGTGTGAAACTCAAGCCCATGTATGGCCCAGGATACACTGGCATGAAGAACCTGGGGAATAGCTGCTACCTCAATGCTGTCATGCAAGCCATTTTCAGCATCCCAGAGTTCCAGCGAGCGTAAGTAGCTCCAAACTACCTCTTGTCACTAGCTGCTGCATTCATCAATTTGTTGTTTTTCTAAGAAAAATGGTGGTTTAATTTTTGTCTCGCTTGCAAACAGGTCTCTTTCAGTCAGTTCAGTGGCTGCTTGAAGGATTTAGTGGTTGTTTTGGTCTGTTCTGGAAAAGGCTGGAACACAAAACCCAATCTGCCTTCAAAATAAAAACAAACTATCTTAACATTAGTGGTGAGAAATCATTTGCCACCTTGGATATTTGATGTCTGAGTCTCTGCTTTTTTATATACAGATGCACATATATCTCTGCTAATATGCACATCATTACACATGATGTGTCACATTAGGGGGTTTGTACTGGCCCATAGAGTCATTCTGTGTGATTTGTGCCAAAAACTGGGACAACATGTTGATATTGATCCATGCTAGTGAAAAACACTGCACCTCTTGCATGCAGGTCTGGCTAAGGGGGGAAGCTATCAGAGGCACATTTTAATTAAAATTAAAAAAAAATAGTGGCAAGAATAGTGTAAATGTATTCTTCCACTGAATAATTAAGAGAGTAAAAGGACCAAAGCACAACAGAAAGATATGAAATACTCCTGACTGATCAAAGCTGAACACATCATTCCAAGGAGAGAAGCCTTTTTATAAAGGACAGTCCATGGTTTGAAATAAAATTCAGAGTGCCCATTCCTTCCAAAGCAGCACTACTGTATGTGCTGGAAGTGAAGCTTTTAGATTTTGGAAAACCTCCCAGGTTTTCATGTTAGAAATTGCCTTCTGGAGAGGAAGAGGGAGAAAACTTGTGTTTATTTTCTTTGTTAGCCATATGGAGTACAATCTGTGGGTTCATTAAGTGCCAGCTCTTCTACCTCCACTGTTGAAAAATATCAAAATGGACTTTATTAGGGAAGATCATTTTCCACAGCATGGTCATGGAGTTACCTGGAGGACTTAGTGTCATCAAAATAGTGGAGATCTTGATGAGAGAGGGACCAGCACCATGGCCATACCTACCCAGCCTGTTTTTTCCTGTGCTCAAGGGTAGCCAATGCTCAGAGAGTGCTGCTGAATGCTTCACTTTCCAACAGGCTGGCTAGAGCAATGTTTCCCTCAGTGTTATCAGAATTGCTTTTCTTGTGAAACTCAATAGAAATGTTCTTTTTACATATTTTTGTCCTGGTACAAACCAGAATTTACTTGGCTACGTTGGTTGGGAGTAAAAGGTGCACTGGTTCTTAACTCAGCTCTGTGGTTTTGACCAACACCATCCTGCAGCTTTTGCAAGATTAAGGAACAGAATGTAAATTCCAGATGAACAACACAGCAGTATTCTTTATAGCTGGAAGCTTCCAGATAAAACCTCAATGTCCATTTCTTAATTTCTTTACTATTATTTTTGCATGACTGAAGCACTCATTGAGGGTAGATTGAATCATTAAGCTGCAATATTTGAATGCTTCTGCTTTGTTCTTGCTGCCCAGGTATGTGGGAAACCTTCCACGAATATTTGACTACTCCCCTCTTGATCCAACACAAGATTTCAATACTCAGATGTAAGTGACATTTCTGTTATTTACTTGATCAGGTTAAATAGAATCTAAATGATTTAATGGCAGAGCAAAAGAACACCTTTTCATGAGCTTAGAAGTGAGATATGGCACAGGGAGATTGAGATTTGACCACTTAGTTGCAATGATGGTAATGATGGTTCATCAAGGAGTCAAAAGCAGTAAGCTTAATTTTTTTTTTTTTTGCTTGAAGTAAGTATCTTCTGTTTTTCTCACATGTTTGTTTCCACCCCTCCACTTTTTTCCTTACAGGGCTAAACTGGGACACGGCCTCCTTTCAGGCCAATACTCTAAGCCACCCATGAAATCTGAGCTCATTGAGCAGGTGATGAAAGAAGAACACAAGGTATTTGCCTGAGTTTGTACAGCCACTGGTAACTAGGTAAAAGTGATATCCTGAGCAAAGGGAACAGGTGCTGGGCTTTGAGGAACACGTGTGGGTCCAGCATGGATGGGATGCTTAGCAAGGTGGAATGTGAAGATTACTAAGTCAGGGATAAATTAGTCAGGCACTATTTGTGCAGTGCATCAAAGCAAGCACTGGTTCTGCTGATAAAGTGCTCTGCTGCTCCAGTGATGAGTGCAAATGTTCTTACAACTTGCAACCAGTGTTTATCTTCTCTGAGGAACAACAACAAACAATGTTATGCAGAGAGTCCTGGAAGCAAACTTCTAAACCCTCTTTAAATTACTGAAAGTATAAATAGCTAAAGAATTGTTTCCAGGGAGTGTCTGACAATACTCCACTTGATTTCAGGAGAAGCTAATGCAAGATTAGGTGGTGCTGGGGGCTTTGGAGGTGGAGGGGCCATGCAGAGCCACAGGAGTAATGCATGCTTCTGCCACTGAGGGATGGTGGTGGTTGCCACAGAAACAGATATTCTCCTCTACCTTCATCTATCAATTATTGAGATAGGAATTTCTCCTGAAATCAGAATGCCAATAAGATTTTGGACAGACAGAGCATCTGGTACAGAGTAGTTTGCACAACCTGGAAGTCATGTGTCTCTAAGTAATTGCTTTGTACAGTGGCAATTCAATGTTTTGGAACAGCAAATGAATCCTGCTTGTTCCCATTGAATAAAGTTCAAGCCTTATCAACACTGGGGCAAAGGAATAGTGGGACAGATTTCAGCAAACTCCATATCTTGAGTTATGTGTATTGACTGACCTGCTTTCCTAAACAGGAATGTGACTGGAAAATATTGTGCTGGAAGTTCAGGGATCTGAATCCTTGGAATAAAGCTGCCCCTCCATGTTTAGCTCAGCAGCCACTATTAGATGAGATTTTGAGAACTCTTTAATGACAGATGGGATGAAGCTCTGTCAGGTTGTAGTAGGCATCTACTGACATTTAACAGTACTTGTGTTCATTAGTTCAGTTTAATGAAGCTGAAGTTGCATGCATGAAGCATCCTTATCAAGTAATTCAGAGCATTTAGGATTTGAAACAGCTTTTACAGCATTTTGCTTGTTTTATTGATGATTTATTTACAGAAAAAGTCAGATCTAGATATTTTCTCTATTCATTCGCTCTTGGAATACAAATCAATGATTTTTTTCAGGTTGAGGATGCTTTTTTTTTTCCTTTGTTTGCTTAGCATTTTATGCCTTAAATGCTTTCAAGTGCTTCTGCTTTGTGTCTATAATATCAATTATTCATTTAACTTTTATTCCTTTATTTTTCCCCCTTCTACATGCAAAGAAGTTCCCAATCTTTCTGAGCCTTTGGAATTCATCCAAATTTTTAGGAGTTGTTGCCTGTAAAAGCATTCATATGAGATCTGCAGTGGTCCAGAACAATCTATATTTAGCTAAACTGTTTTGCAACTCTTGATGGGGAAAGTATGCCAGGTATTCAGTAAATATTCGTGGTGCTGTGGAGCTGAAATTTTTCACCACAGAAGTTTAGCCTGGAAATGGCAGCATTTTCCTTGGACCCACTTTAGGATTAAAAAGAGGCTGAATACCTAAAGGGTCATCAGCCAGGGCTTGATTTTCTGCTTTGAGCTTTAACATTTCTTCTGAGTTCAGTTGTTTTGGTTTTTTTTTCCCCTTTTATTTTCCTTGAGGTGAGATTGCAAGATTCAATCCTTTTTTTGCAGACTGTCACACATGGCACGCTCCTCTTCTTCCTGCTCAAGGGGCTGAGTACAAAGTGTATAGGTGGAAGCAAGGCTTGATTCCAAACTCAGTGCATTAAAGAGCATTGTACAGCAGTGTGCCACATTCCTGCTTCTGGCACAGGAAGAAGTTGCAATGGGAGCTGCTTCATGCACTTATCTCCCCAGTCCCAGTTTGGATGAAAGGCACTTGAGGACACTGAAGCAGTACATAACCCAGGATGCAGAAATCCCCAGAGCATCTCTCTGCCCAAGCAGTACAGAGACTCTGTCTCTTCATGGGAGCATTTAGGGATCATCTTAGCCTGATGTGGTTGGTGGTCTACTGCCAAGAATTGAAAAAAGCATTTAAAAATGAGAATCTGCTTCTGATTTCAGTGGGTACCTAGGAATACTGCACCCTGGTAAAACAAAGAAAAAAATTTACTCTTCCAGTGTGTATTTTATGTGGCCTCCATTTCATGCTGCTTTTTCTAATTTTGTATTTATATGACAGTGTAAGTGTAGTAAGGAATGAAATTGGCTGAGTTTTTAACAGCCTCTGAGAGTTCCTAAAGGTTATACTTTTGCTTGGATTGTCAAGAAAATTATTTGTTTTTTTGGATGGTGAGGGCAAATCTCAGTAATAGATTCTGACCCCTTCAAAAATGTTATTTGAAAGGCTAATAGCTAGTGTTGTCTTGAGGATCTGGAATGGTTGGAGAGGTTCTTAAAGTGGTAAAAAGGATTAGAAAGTCAAAACCAGGACTGTCTTGGAAGCCAGAGGTTTTCTAATTTAGGGCAGTTTGCTCAGGTGTAAATTAATGGCCAAAGGCAGTGAGTTATGGTTTTTCAACGTGACCATCACCTGCAAATTGCAAATTCATGTCTGCTCTTAACAACTCGCCTGGGAATGCATGCTGCACATATTAGATGTTCTCTGCTTGGTTCTGCACAGCCCTCTGGAAAGGTTTTGTCCTGAGGAAAGCTGCCAGCTGATACACCAAAGTGCTTCAATGCTCTGGCACAAGTTTCTGAAAGCAATATCAAATGTTATGTAACAATGTAGGCTTTCAGCCTTTCTGAAAACTACTAACCTTTGAAAACCTCCAGTAGTCTTTTTAAAATGCCAATTGCCAAAGGACAGGTAGAGTGAGTTCTGCAGGAGCTAAGCCATAAAACATATTCTAAAATCCCCTCAAATCTTGTTTCAGGACTCTTCCCATTTTTATTAAAATGGAAAAATAGATGAAATGGAAGCTATCATTCCTCCAGTGCCAGAAATGGGCCATAGATTGATTTAGTGGAGTAACTTTGAGATATTTGGTTTGTGATTGAATAAAAATCCCTTTTTAAATGGTTTTTCTCTCTTTCATTTAGCCTCAACACAATGGAATATCTCCTCGAATGTTCAAGGCTTTTATAAGTAAAGGCCACCCAGAATTTTCCTCTAATAGACAACAAGATGCACAGGAATTTTTCCTACATCTGATAAATCTAGTAGAGGTGAGAAAACCTGAATTGCTGCTCCTTTTTCTGGTTATATTAGACAATGAAGCCAAAACTGTTACATGAGTGGCTCATATTTTAGTTATATTATTTTTAGCCTTAGATATGCAGAAGGTGGGACTAATTACAATGTATTTTGTTACAGAAACATTTGCTTCCTTAGTGCTTCCTCTTCTTTACTTCAGACTCTTCATGACCATGAGCAGGGCCAGTGGTGCTGCTAACAAATATAAAGAGGCCAAGCTTCACTGTACAGGCTATAAGATTCATGAACATACGTGACCTTTTAAATTGCTGTTCCTGTTTATCATATTGAAGTGTGCCATGGAATATCAATGAATTGGGTATTATGATTATTATTGTTATTGTTCCAAATTCATATAATTTTTGGGAGCAAATTAATTACCCTGTCCAGCTGTTTTACAAACCCCAGCTGTATGTTACTGAATCATGGGAGGAAGGATTCCCCTGCTGAAAGCAGAGTGGCTGTTTGTCAGTGGAATATTTCTGTATAAAGCTTTAGTTCCACCAAGCTCCAGCTCAGTGCTGTGTTTGAAGGAGTCATAGTGTGAATTTTAATGCTATCTTTCTGAAAAGGAATTTACAAATACATGCAGTTTTGATGTAAAGCATTTCTTGTCTACCCTTCCTCCCTCATTTCCCATTTTCCCCAAGAACCAAGGCTATTTATTCATGTGTTCAGTCTCTGGATGAAGTTACTCACATTTGTATGCATAATGTTCCACATCCCTAAATGCATGTACTGATTATAGGGGTGGTTAGAAGAGACTTTTCTGTTTCTTGCCTGATAACAGGCATTAACATGAACAACAAAGAGGAGGTATATTATTTGCATGACATTCCCATCTGGATAATGAACTACAAGTTGCTTGTTCTGTTTCAGTGCATATTCAGAGTGGTAGGAGCAACTGTATTTGCTGAGAGGATGCTCCATGTTATTTATCTGAGCTTTCTGACTTTACTGTAACTTGCCACCTTCCTACCTTCTGTTCACCTTGAATCAGTCAGGTTCTTGTATGTTCTCAGGAACATACCCTGCAAGTTCTGTGGGTAGAAAGATGCTGCTGTGAGTGCAGAACTTGTGGATTTGGTTGGTTTTCTCTGTAGGGGACAGAGCTCTGCACACAGTCCAGTGTGAGCTGAGCTGCCAGATCAGTGTCTTTGTGCTTGCCTTAAAACAACCAGCAGCCTTTGGGTTTTCTGCTCATTTTAGCGATCACCACATGTGGATTCTTTTGCTTCTTTTCTCTGCTAAGATTGGGATTAAATTGGGAGATGGTATTTCTTGTTTGGACTCAGATGTTTATTAGTTGTTACCTGTATTATATTCTTACAAGTTGTGAGTTTTACAGTACTTCTCTCCAGCAAGGTAAAAATGAAGTTGTATCTTTTTCTCTACAAGGCTTTTTAAGGATAAGCTGTCTAATTAAGAAATGGCACCTAAATTATTTTTACTTTTAAGCTAATAACTAACTACTCATGCTCTGCAATGTGGACTTTTTTATCTAATTACACAATACTACTTAAACCTATGGAGAAGAAGAGGGTGAAGAAGAAGAAGGTGAAGAAGAAGGTAAAGAAGAAGGACTAGCTTCTGCTTTAAAACTTTCATTTTGCTTTATATATATTACTACATTATAAAACCTTAAACTCTGGGTTTTCTACTATGTGATGTGACACACTTCTATCCAAACTACACATTCATAATCTCAGTCCTATCATTCAATTTTGGAAGTTTCCTCTACGGCTTCAGGTCAAATGCAGTGTTCTCTTGGGGGTCAGTGTCTGTCAGCACAGAAAGTCTGAAATCCCCAGCAGCCAGGGTTCCAAGAGGCACAGAAGTGACTTGGTGTGCTGTTCCTTTCAGAGGAACCCCGTGGGCTCGGAGAACCCCAGCGATGTTTTCCGGTTCCTGGTGGAGGAGCGCACGCAGTGCTGCCAGTCCAGGAAGGTGCGCTACACCCACAGGGTGGACTACATCATGCAGCTCCCTGTGGCCATGGAGGCAGCCACCAACAAAGGTAAAGGGCAAACTGCTCTGCTTGACCCAGGGATGTGCCACTTTGTGCCCAGAGATCCCCACCAGCACTGAATCTCCTTCGTCCTGGACAGTGAAACAGTTTGTGAACACATCTTCATTATCAAAATGAACTGAACATACCAGCTAATGAATATCTTTTAAAAACACACACTCAAAAAGAACCACCGAAAACCCAAATCTGCTTTCTGTTCTTTAGCAGCAGGTTATAAGATCTAATGTGGTCATAGAGAATAGGAGTATAAGGTACTTTGTAATCTATAAATCTAAAATACACAATTTGGATGTTCCGGGCTTTAGGGGAGTAGGGAAGGAGGATGAAGTGTTGGATGTTGATTTAATAAGCAGGAGTGTTTTTCTCATGCCTGTGAAAAGCACCCTTATTTTTAAAGGAGAAAATGGCTGAGGAGGCTTGAACACCTGGGAGCCCAAGGAAGGCACTGACAAGATGTGGTTGGATCTGCAGTCAGTGGTGAAGAGCCTTGCAGAATAACATAATAAATGTATGCTTGAGGTAGAAGTGAAGGGGATATCTCAGGAACATGAAGGGAGATTTCCTACATAATCTGAACATTTAAAGTATTTTAAAACCAGAAGGTTCTATTTTGATTGTTTGATGAGATCCTACGAAATACCACAAGGAGGAGAATTCTACCTCCTCTTTACCTAGGCTGCAACTCCTTGCACTGGACAAGAAGTTTAAGAGAACTTTTCATTCTTTGTTCATCTGTTTCAGTGATGACTCTGTTGCTTTTAAAAGAACATATTATTTCCAGGTAATGACTGAGGAGACAGATTAGTTTGTGAATTTACCATATGGCACTGCTCAGCTTACCAGTGTCAAGACTTTTTCTAGATCATACATAATCCTGGCCTGTCTAAAAAGTCAGATGACACAGATAGATAGCAATGACTTTCCAGCTCAGATTGAGCTCTGATAAAGTGGATGTGTGGCATTACTCTTCACACAGGATCTTGGCTGTCATGGCAAAGTTTTAATTTCCTGTGTCCTGGTATTTCCAGTTCTGTGTTTTCACCGTGAACCTTAGAGAAACCTTAGAGATGTGGCTGTAAGTGTAGCTCCTGACCCCAATGCAGACAAAAAGATTTCATGCCTAGTTAAAAGTACGTAAAACTTTTATTGCTAAGTAGGTTTTTGCATTTCTAAAACTTGCAGAAATAAGCCTGATGAGGAACACATAACCCTGACAATGTTCATTAGCTTCTAGTGTTGTGTGTATTTTGCAGATGAATTAATCGCCTATGAACTGAAGAGGCGAGAAGCAGAAGCTGCAAGGAGACCTCTGCCAGAGCTGGTCCGTGCCAAGATCCCATTTAGTGCTTGTCTGCAGGCCTTTTCTGAACCAAGCAATGTAGAGGATTTCTGGAGCAGTGCCCTTCAAGCAAAATCTGCAGGAGTTAAGTAAGTGTGTGTCTGCCTGCCTGTTAAAAACTGTGCTCTGTGCTTATCTTGCTACCTGGACGTGGTGCAGAGAGAAATACACAAATGCACAGTGAGCTCTGGCATCACATTAGTGTCGGGGCTCATCAATGGGATGTGCAGATCAAGCCTTGCAAGAGTTGTAATGATGAACTGAGCAGGAAATTAATTGTTCTCAATGGTCAGAGTCCAAGAAGTGATGCAGTCTGGTTGTTGAGAACTTGAACTTTAAATGCTTGTAGGGTTGTATCCTTTGTATCAAGCAGCAGTAGCTCATCTCAGTGTGCATGAGGTACTGGGATTTGTGCTGCTGGGGATTCTGTTGCCTGATTTAAATGAATTCTGTTTCTTGTCCTTCACAGGACTTCCCGTTTTGCTTCCTTTCCTGAGTACTTAGTGGTGCAGATAAAGAAATTCACCTTTGGCCTTGACTGGATACCCAAAAAGCTTGGTATGTGCTTGTTTTATTTACCTTTCTATCCCAGATAATTAATAAGATGTGCACACTGTAGTGAGGACCTGACTCAAGTAATAAGTTTGTGCTGTGAAGGTCCTAATTAAATCTTTTTCCCTTTTACAACAAATCTAACCAATCCATCAGGTCTGTGGAGTTAAAACACAGTTTCATGTAATCTGAGCTGGTTAAATTGTGCTTTGGCATTCCAAATTTCTCTAAGAGCTCTTTGCAGAAGGAGAGTCCTGGCTGTTCCTGTACCTTGAGTACCAGAGTTCCCTCTCTGAAGGGGTAGGTTGCACCATAAGGTAATTTTGCTGGCTGCAGAAGCTTAGCCCATTTCTCTGCTCTTGTAGATGTTTCTATAGACATGCCAGATTTCCTGGATATCACTCACCTTCGGGCCAGGGGGCTCCAGCCAGGAGAAGAGGAACTCCCAGACATTGCTCCTCCCATTGTCATTCCTGATGACCCAAAAGGTATTTACTGACCTACTCTCTCCTGTTTTACCCTTTCCTTCTAGCACATGGGGATTCTCTTGAACTATGAACAAAAACCCAGCTCTGTGCTTCTGTCATTGAAGACTCTCAAAACAGCCTTTTTCCCTCCCTACTGGACAACTCTAGTTCTTCCAGCTTTCCTGTTTTGGGGATTTATTATAGAATCACAGAGTTTTTTGGGTTGGAAGGGATCTTAAAGATCATCTAGTTCCAAACCCCTTGCCATGGGTAGGGACACTTTTCCCTAGAAGATTTAATAATTGATGTTGCTTCCTTGACTCTCTCCAGAGAACTTTCAATGCATCCCCATGACTCCCTTGGAGTAAAGCCACTGTGCACTTCCCAGGTCCAGCACAGCACAGCAATACTTAATACACAAAGGACTACAGTTTAAGAGAACAGCTTTCCAGGCATAGGCTAAGACTCTAATTTTTGCTCATTTTAAAAATACAAGAATTGTTAGACCCTAGTAGCTGTGCCTGCATGCACAGTCCTCTTCTCTGGATGTATATGGGCTGCCATTAAAAAAAGCTCTGTCTCAAGGAGAAGATGGCAAACAGCTGATTATAATGTTTGTGGAGAAGAAAGAAAGAAAAGTGATTAAAATGCTGTGCTGTTTTTTTTTTTTTTTTTCTAATACTGTTTCTTTTGTGCTGAAGTTCAGAAACAAGAATATTAAATATCCTCCTTCTTTATTCCCTGGGTTTCCCTGGAGAATAAATGGTTTATAGCAAGTAAAATCATGTTTTTATGGTGTGACCTTAGACCCAGGTGGCTGCACTTCCCCCCAGATGACTGAAGTTTGAGTGCCTCAGTATTTAATATGAAGCCAGTAATGCAGCTGCTCTCGTGACATGAGTGCCCCCATTTGCTTGGATATTTATAATAATGGTGGCAGAATACCATGCTGTATGTATGTGAAAGAAGGCTAGTACCTGAAATTGTGTGCAGAGCAAGGATATGACAAACTTCAATTCCCTAAAGGTTTTAATTCCATCCCTTATCTGTGTACGTTCCTCACAAAGGCCTGTACCTTCTTATCCTCTTGCTGAATGGACTGACCTAGTTTTAGTGTAAATGCATGGGTGATGGTGCTTTTTTAAAAAGATTCTTGCTTAGGTCAGCCATCAGCTTTATTTCCTACTGGTTTATGGTATCAGTGACACTTTGCTCTGAACTGAGTTAGGGAAAACAATTAGTGAGCAGAAATATCCTTGCTCCATTCATGGCAAAAATATCAGGGAAATAAGGATGAAACTGCCCTGTCTCCATGCAGTCAAATATTTCTATGAGTTTAAAAATATGGAATTGTTTTACCCATATGGATCTACTTAGCCTTTTCCCTGTTTTTTTCCATTGTTAATTTTCAGATCACATGACAAACCATTTCGTGGAGTGTACGTATCTCATTTTTCTACTGCTTAAAAAATTGTTATTCTTTTGCTCAGCTGATGGCTTCTCTCTCCTCATCCTCAGAGATGCATGAAGCCTTGCCCTGCATGCTTCCAAATAAAAGCTGATTTCTGTGCTTGTTCAGTGTTTGCTTTCTTGTGTGCAGTGCTCTCTTTGAGGGTTGGTATAGCCAGAATATGAGCTGCTCCTCTGCCTGCTGCTCCTCGGGAGGATCTTGCAGTCCTGGAGGTCACAGCCACTTTATCCTGGCTCCCTCTGCACTCTGATCTCACATAAAGCTGTCTGACCCTGTCATCCAGAGGCTGCCAGATCTGGCAGCTGTTATTTCTCTAACCTGCAATATCCTGCCTTTGAGAGGGGCTTGGTTTTGGCTGCCATCTCTAGCTGAGCTCAGCACCTGACTTCCTCACCCCTTAAAATCCAGTGCTGAGGTATTTTAAAATAAATAGAATCCTGTAGGCATTCATTAAGATTTAATGATCTATGTGAAGATCTGTGTCCCTGCTGAGACAAAAGATTATCAGAAAGTCCATAACAACAACTGTAATGCTTTGTACAAGGCTGTTTTCTGATGGCTGTGGGTTTATTGAAGTACTAAACCAATTCCAAGCAATATGTACTGTAATATATGGCACCGTGAGTAACAATAAGAAATATTATGCAATGGATGAAATGAGACTTTTATATTTTAGAAGGTCCTTTCTTGCAGCCCTAGATATTGATGAGTCTTCAGTTATGCAGCTGGCAGAGATGGGCTTTCCTTTGGAGGCATGTCGGAAGGCCGTGTACTATACAGGCAACCTGGGTGCTGAAGTTGCTTTCAACTGGATCATTGCACACATGGAAGAACCAGGTCAGTCACTGGAGGGTGTAAGTTAAACTCAGCTCCTGGTTGTGGATTTTGGCAGTCAGTAGAAATTTTATAATGTGTGACAGAGAAACAACGACCCCCCTTCCCCACCTGGGAAACCTGGAGGTGTGAGTGAATTTTCCTAAGCTGCTCCTGGGATGTGCAGATCTTGACCATTATGTGGTGTCCTCTGCCTAGAAGAAGACAACAAACTAAGCTACACCAGAAGTCCTGTCCTCACCACTGGTGTGGGCCAGCTCTGTTTCCACTTTTTGGCTAGGTCCGTGCTCCTAAGGGGGAAGCTGACTTGTGACCAAGTGTAAGTACAAAGAATCCTGTGGTCTGGATGCTTTCCTTCCATATCAGCCTTCTCTAGCTCAGGCTGGAGCATTCATGCCATACTTGGGCTGTCTAGTGATGGACAGGGCTGCTAGATGTTCTCCACTTCCTTGTGTTTCATCTGTGCAAAGTTTGGACTCATGATTCAGCACTGAGTACTCCCTTGCCAGGAAACTCCAGATTTGGTTGAGTTCACGCTTCACCATGAGCTTTTGTGTTGCTTGTGTAAAGGGGGAATGAGTTTCACTTGGGCTTAGCAGACATTTCTAGATATGGAATCAGTTCATTTTACATCTCTGCCCTGGTTGTCTATTATCCTGATGCCATCATTGCTTCCATACCAATCTTTGCTGCTTTCCTGCAGTTGTTTCACTTCTGCAATGTGCTGAGTTATTCCAGTCTGCTCAGAATGAGCACATGCACCTAGATATTTTGTAAAGTGCACATTCATTTTGTTGTTTTTAAGGCTTTCCACACATCTAAGTCTGAATTTAGATGCCAGCAAAATGAACTTACATTGATTTCAGGACTGCTTTTGAGGTCCTGTGTGTTGTTGGTTTGTGTTTGTTGTTGATTTTCTAGTTAAGTGAGGCAAAAGAAGGAACTGATGAATGTTTGTTTGTTCCAGACTTTGCTGAGCCATTGGTCATACCTGCATTTGGAGAAGTTGCTTCCAGTGGGGCAGCTGCTTTAGGAGCTGTAGGGTTAGATAACCAGCCTCCTGAAGAGATGGTTGCAATCATCATTTCCATGGGATTCCAAAGGAATGTGGCAGTTCAGGCGCTGAAGGCAACAGTGAGTTCATGGGTTATTGGTAGCACTGGGGCTTTGTTTCATGTTCTGTGCTTTGTGCTTGTGGGTGCTCAGATGCCTTTGAAATGTGTGCAAAAACCCAGTTAGTGGATGGTGAGCCTGGAACTGTCCTGGCAAAGTGTGGGATGCCTTGCTTCTCTGGAGTGGGGAAGGCGCTTTGTATGCTTCGCTGGAATGGCAGTGTGGAAGGCAGTGAGGGAAACATACCTGTTGAAAAATAACCTGGATGCCTGGAGACTGTGTCTGCAAGATAAGAGCAGGGGGCTGTGGGTCTTAATTGTGGGATTATTTCTTTTCCATATGTCAAACTTTTGCAGAGTGCTTGCTGAATACTGTTTTCCAGGGAGGTAGAGGTATCTTACAATTTTTAAGTGCAATTTTTAAGTAAACATGATCCTTACTCTGTTCAAAGGCTGGTGAGTGGCAGTGTGATGTTAGAGTGTAATAAAGTCTGCCCTTTTGATTGTTTGACTGGCAGAACAACAACTTGGAGCGTGCACTGGAGTGGATCTTCAGCCACCCTGACCCTGAAGAAGAAAGTGACCCTGCTTTGGACACGATGGATATGGAGAACAATGCTAATGCCAATATCCTTGCAGACACAGGGTCAGAGGGACCCAGGATCAAAGATGGCCCTGGAAGTAAGTTCTGCTTCAGCTTAGACCTGGCTGCCATTCTGTTGTGTCACACCCACAGAAAGAGCTCCTTTCTGTTTTGAAAGTAGTTATTGTGGGTTCTTTTGGACAAGATCCAGACAATTTACTTGTTTCTGGGGATACAGTCTTGTTTCTGGGGCTGATACAGCTCTGTGGGCCGCTGAGTTCTGTGGGCTGTGTTTGCTCAGAAAACTCTGCTTGGACTCACTGAATAGCAAGAGCCCAAATTTTTTTGCTACCAGAGCACACAAGTCTCTCCTGGCCTAGGTTTACTTTTTGTTCCATTGCTATAAGATAAAAAGACAAAGAAAATCTAGAGTGTTTAAATGCTCAGAGGCTGAGCATCCTAAAGACAGCAGTGCTGCTACAGACCACCTGAGTTTCTGTCCTCCTGTGGTCTGCTGGGCAGTTTGATAATCCCTTCAGCCAAGTTCCTTATTCACAATGTCACAAGTACAGCTGGTGTCCTGCATGTTTTGTGTTCTTTTGGTTGAGATTCTCTGTCACACTGCTGCTAAATAAACCACAAGATGGGGCTAATGTACAGCAGGCAAAGTTGAGAAGAACCTCCTGGAGGTGTCACAGCACTGGAGTACAAAAGCTCAGTGGTGGTGCTAAGGATGTCACAGAAAGTTTTTTGAAGGGTCTTTAGTGATGAGTTCTAATAACTGTAGGATGTTCTAAACTTCTACTTCTGATCTTGAATGTAAAGGTCTAGGAAAAAAAAATTGCCAGACAATTTGATTTTTGTGTCTGTAGTTGCTACTGTTATATTAACATTATAAATATCAACCTTAAGTCTTTTGGAGGCATGGGAAACATTGATTTTTGCTAAGTTAAACCCCCCACCTCCAAACTTGGAATAATTATTTTTGTGGTACTTAGCCTTTATAGACTGAGACCCTTTACTGAGTGCCTGAAATCCTGATAACAAACATGATTCTGTGAAATAGCTCCTCTCCAGCAAAATCCAGGCCCATGTCCTTATGCAATACCCTGAAAGAAGGTACCCTTTTAGTTTTAGTGGTAATTCAGGTGAATGGCATGAATGGGTGGGGATCAAGAACCAGTGCTGAACTCTCCAGACACTTTAAGCATAAAAATTGTCCTTGTGTTAAAGGAAGAGCTTTCTTTCCTGTCCTCTCTTCTATGCTGAAATGTAGACTTCTGTGTTTTTTGATTTATAGGAGATCTGTGATCACACATATAGACATAGCTAATTTGTGTGCAGAAGGAGTTCCCTGCTTGGCACTTTCTGTGGTGCTCTCTGTGAACTGGGAATGAATCTGCTGTTTTCTTTCCTAGCAGGGGCTGTGATCACAGCCCTGCTGTATGTGCACAGGTCTCTGTGGGTTTGATTTGGATTGGTTTGGATGTTTGACAGTGAATCTGAGCCACTAGTTAAGTTGGGAACATGCTGCAGTGTGAAGTCAGAAACTGAGTTTGGGGATGCAGAGTCTGTGTTGGGAGTGCTTAGCTGCTTCTCCAGTATTAGAACATTTCCCCTGGAGTCATCTTGCAGTGGTAGCAGTGAAAGACTTAGGGTGCCATTTGTATTTCTTAAAACAGGGTATGAGCTGTTTGGGTTCATCAGCCACATGGGAACATCCACAATGAGTGGCCACTACGTTTGTCACCTCAGAAAGGAAGGAAGGTGAGTGCAGCTGGGAGAGACACATGGGATGAGCAAATGTTTGATCTGAAGCATCTGCACAGAGCAGGGTGTGCTCATGGCAGACAACATGGGCTGATACCATCTGTAGGTTTTCCACCAAAAAAATGAAAATTGTCACAGATGTGACGAGTCAGTTCTGATCCCACTGGAGTGTATGGTGAAATGTACCACTGGCTCTCCTGTGCTCACCATTCCAAATCTCTGTTCAGTTTGGAGAATTGGTTCTGTGTGTGGCTGAGTTTGTCTGAGCTCTTCCCAACTTCCTTTTGCTGCCCACGAATAGAAAGCCATGGAACCATGGGCTGATACTGGTGCTGCTGGTACTGTGGTGCTGATCTTGGCTGTGATTCTCATATGCTCCCATTATTTGACATTGGGAATCCCTGATTTTCCTTCATTTGAGCTGTAACTACACATTCCTCTGCACATCCCTCCTCCTTTTCAATTCCTGACTCTGGCAGCTGGTTCAGCTGTTTCTCTGATCCTTTGTTCTTATTGCAATGCCTAATTTTAGATTTTAAACCCTTTGAGGTTTGAGTCTGAGAAGTCTCTGATAAATCTGTGGTGATTTTTATACTCATGGAATGTAATCAATCTTGTTTTCCTTTCAGATGGGTGATCTACAACGACCTTAGGGTCTGTGCCTCAGAACGACCTCCCAAAGACCTGGGCTACATTTATTTTTACCACAGGATACCAAGTTAGGCCTCAAATCTATCACCTGGCCTTAAGAAGCCATAAGCCTTTTTAACCTGCCCAAAAAAAGCCTACAATAAAAATCTAAAACCAACAAAAGACCCCTTAACCCTTGGACTGCCAAAAAGCAAAGGAAACCATGGGATGTTTATAGTGTATTTAAAAACAATCATTTGATGCCGCCTTAAGTGTTAGATGGAAGATTTCTATTAGGTGCTGTATAGGACATTGTTTTAAATTTATACACCTTACAGGCCATGTGGATTTCTGGTGGAGTTTGCAGCTAGTGTGTGGAGAATATGGAAGCTTCAGTGTTGAACAAAAACAGTTCAGCCCAGCTCCTGCCTGTCCTGCCCATGCATCCTTTGAAGACCACAAACAGATATTTGTGTCTTTGGTGACTGGGAGCCTGTGTTTTCATCCAGAGTCCAGATCATGTAGAGAAATCATTTGAAAGGAGGGGGTTTGTGGCTGTTCTTCAAAGCAGAATGTCCTTTTTCAGAGATTATTTTCAGTGCAGTGAGAAAAGTCAGCTGCAGTTGTATCTGTTGGGATTCAGTGGTACAGTATCTTGATTTGACTTTTCCAGGCTTAAGCCTAAGAGACTAATGGAGACAGGAGCAATCTCCTGTCATGCCCTGTACATTTTTTGCCAAAGAGAAATTTTGTTTTTGCAGGCATAGGTTTCTTCATCTTCACTTGAATGTTTATTTTCTAAGGTCTACCAACAGATTCAGGATTACAGATGGCTAAAAGCAGCAGACTTTCTGACTATGAAATTAAATGCACACCCTCAGGAAAGGCAATGCTGTTATTTAAATTTTGTTTTCATATGGAGGAGGTAAAGAAGGGTTTAATGCCCCATTATATTTATGTCAGGGAAATTTGTATCTAGACCATTCATTCATATTCCATCTGAAATCAACCCCCTGACAAAGTACTTGCAGTGCAATCCTGCTTTCTGCTAAAGATTGCTTAAATATTGACTTTCATATCTGAGTGCGGGAAATTGCTTGGTGAGTTTTCTGATTTATTGATTTACCCCTCTCTTCCTCCGTTAAAAAACCAAACCAAAACAACAACAACAACCAACAGGAACAAAAAAAAACCCACAGTAAAACCCCCCTTGAATTGATATTCTCACTTACTTTAAACTTGCAAATGCATCAATAATCTGATCTCTTCAACAGACACCTTCTAAAAGGGGTCTGATATCTCTGGCAGGTATGATGGGGTGGGTAGGCAGGGGCTGGCCTTTCCTGTCTGCTTTTTTAATTTTTATGGTGTTATTTAAGTGTTTTTCACAGGTGAGAATGCATATGTGGGTTTTTAAATTATATTTGGAAACACTGATTCTAGAGAAATTACAATGGTGAGTGCAAAACCTCATGATTCAGAAAAAAGAACAAACCCAAAGGTTCACAGTGTTGGACACTGCTTAGAGGCTGTTGCTGGAGTTGCCTTGTACAATGTTACCAAGCCCTCAAAATAAATTGCAGCAGAAAAAAAACAACAAAACCAAACCAAAAAAACCCCAAAAAACCCAACCTTTTTTTGCAGAGTGTAGGACAGCCAGAGAGGTATCATTACATTTTCTCTGCTGTTAGTGCCTGCAAGTTTTAATAGCAAAATTCAGGCAGCTACACTCTACAGAAGAGAACCCAAATTAAACATCTGCTTATGAGAAGGGAATTTTAGTTTTTGCATTGTCAAAAAACACTGTTAGTATTTTAATCAGGTTTTGATCATAAAAGATTGTGAGAGAAATTGCAGTGCAATAATTCTGTAAAGGTGTCTCACTGCTGGGAGAGCTCCCTGCACTTAGAGCTCTTATGGACACATTAGTGCAGTGTCCTGGCACATTAATGAGTGGCCCCTGTGACATTCAGCTTATTGAGCCACCAGTTCTGGATGAAATAAAAGCTGCCAGTAATGTCTTTGCTTCTTCCAGATTTTGGATATTTGAGGACTTCACCAGAAAGTGACAGGTTTGAAAATGGGATCAGCAAATTATGCAGTGATACATATTCTATTTAAAGTGAAAGAGCAAAACTTCTGTATATATGTGTGTTTCTTCATTCTGGCAGTAGAAAAAGGAGAAAAGGCCTTTTTGCCCCCCCTTCCTTTAATTTTTAATTATTTTTTTAAAATTCCCATGTATATTCCAAAGTTCAACACAACAGCTTCCCTCTTGCCTCATGAACTTAAAGGGCTATTTAGAAACCACCAAGATCTGGTGACTGCTGCCTTTTTATTTAGAAATATTGGGTAAATAAAGGCCAGCTGAGTAACCCCCACGTTCATTACCCAACTGGAAGCATGGCTGGTCTTGTAGGATCAAGGATGGAGCTGGAATCTTGCAAAGTGCTTGGTGCATCCCAGAGCTGTGATGGCTGTGGTGAGTGAATTGGAGCAGCTCAGGTCCTGGAGTTCTTCTCAGTTCATCACTTTTGTGTTTTGCCTGCCCAAACCAAAGTTAGTCAGGAATTCAGGGAGCAGTTTAGGGGAAAGGATTTCAGGTTTTCTAAAATTTAGCAGTTAAAAATATGTTAGAAGTTCTTCAGTCAGGTGCTTGAGGAATTACTTTATTCTCTCCCAAAACAGTGGCCTCCCTCCTTTTTTCAAGTGGCTGGTTAAGTTGTCTCCCTTTTGTGATGGGTTTTGTGTGAAGAACATCAAGAACCTGGAGGAGCAGGCTGTAAACTCCTGACTCCTCACCCTAATGGGGGGCAGAGGAGTTTTGGGTTTTTTTAAACTCCAGCATTGCAGAAGCTCCACTCAAACAGACTGTCCTGAGGCGATGACTGATCTGCCAGGCTGTGCCTGCTGCAGTCTGAATGTGCTGAGTGTGCCAGGGCACAGCCTGGGCACACTCCCTGTCTGGGTGCTGGGGGCTCTGTGAGCTGGGAGCTTCTTGACTAAAAAAAATGGAGGAAGAAAAATCCCTGTGAGCTGTTAGAGACAATCTGACCTGAGAATCACGGCAAGCCAGGACCTGGCAGTAAATAATGCTCTTATTTCTCAGACTTATTTTTACTTTTTTGTATGGTACATTTAGGTTAGGAGAAAGGAGGAAGAAAAACTCAATAACTTCTCCTTGATTTCCTCTTCTCTTATTCCTAGCAGCATGCTGGATCCAATAGACTCCTCATTCTGAGTCACAATCTCCTGGCTCCAAAACACATGTAGACTCAAACTCCTATTTAATCTTCCTAGCTAAAATAAAATTAGGGTAAAAATTAATTTATTCAGACCTGTAGTTTTAAAATAAGTGTAGATGTTTCTGAACTCCCAATCACTTGTAACTCCATTGGGTTCAGTGCCATTACCTCTGACTGACTTTGGTGTAAGTGAAACCAACATCAGCCCAGTTCTTTGATTCAGACAGCCTCCACCAGGTCACAGAACACATTCAGAATGTGGATGCATCCAGAGCTCATTAGATTTCCTTAGAAACCTCTCCAACTGATTCCTTTTGTTCTCCATCCTGGCAGCAGCCATTTTTATCCTCTTTGCTGTTCTCATGCATTGGAAGTCTATGCAAAATATGGAACTGGACATTTTATTGTTTTCTCTGTCGCCCTTCCTACCTTAATGGCTGAGATTGGTGTCTGATTTCTACTCAGTCTTCAGTGGTTTTACTGTTGTATCCTGGAAGTGTCTGTCCTGGTTTACTTTGCACCATTCAGAGTTGTTTGCTTGAAGCACTGTTAACTTTCTGGAGAGTATTTGTCTGAGATGAGAAAGGCTGTGAATGACGTTGTTGCAACCGTTTTAAATTAAAAAGAAATATTCTCACATCTGGTGACTGTGTGGATTCTTGCTTTATTCCTGTCTGAACTGGAGAGGAATAGACAGAATGTGTTTTGATGCTGCCTCTCACTCTTTGTGTTCACATTTGGTGTTTTACTTAAAAAGACTCTGCATAGGGAACAGAGGGGTTTGTGAGACTCTCGATTTCTTGTGACTCCTGGCATTTCTGTGGATTTAAAAAAAAACCCAAACAAGTAAAATCCCCAAGCCCTGAGTGGATACACAACATGGCAAAAAATAGAAAACAGGTTTTAAGTTAGACTGGCTTGTTTGTTTTGAACTATTAGGCCTGTTGATGTTCTTTGATCACAAGAGTTGGCAATGTTTGTGTGGAATAGTGCTGTCATTTCACTCCAAATTTCTGCTTTATCATGGTCTGTAATTCCTCACACTCAGAAATTTCTTCTGCTGCTCAGTAAAGGAGAAAGAACTCTGTTTTCCTCACGTGTAAGGACTTTACACGGAAATATGACTTTTGGGACTCTGGTAGATGCAATAGGCTGAAAAAGAAGACTGAGGGGTGACAACTTTTCATAGGATCACGGGACCAGCAACTGGAGGAGAGGTAGGAGGTAAATCTGCTGTGGTCAGTGACACTTCTTGACACAGAAGTAGAGGACATGTGCCATGCTGAGTGATAAGAAATGTAGAGATGGTTCAGCTTCTGAAGTCTAAACTTAATAATGATGTGTTTTGGTTTCTCTTCTATCACAGATGTCCTTTGTGACCATGGCAACCCAAGCCACGCTGTTCACACCACTTGTGGCAACTGGAAGAGGTGGGAGAGTGGCTCCCTGTAGAAGCTAACCAGCTCTGTTCACAATTTCCAGGAGTTTCCTGGATAGGATTTGTGCCTGACTGTTGCAGGCTGTTTGTGGGAGGCAGTGTTGGATACCTGATGAGTTCCCACCCTCTGCTCCCCCTCACTGATGTGGGAAGTTGCACCTTTGTGTCCTTCAGGTGTACTACAAGCCTAACCCAAATAAGGGCAGCACTGACAGCCTGTAAAATTACTGAAATGCTGTAAAATTATTGAAAACAGTTACTGCATGACTGACAGCTGTTTGGAGTGGGTGATTATGTTTTCAGATGTCTTTAGCAGTGATTTTTGAGCAGTTTTGCATGTGGATTTGGTACTGATGCTTTTCTCCCACTGTCTTTGGCTTTAGGACAGCAGTGCTGTGTTCCTGATCTGGAGCACATAACCAAAGGATTTTCCTGCTGCTGCTTTGTCAGTGCATTTGAGCAAAAAGAACTAAACTAGCCTTAACATGTCCAAGAAAAACACACCAGTGTCCAGAGCCCACAGTTACCTTCATCCTAACCTAAGGGTTAGCGTGGTTCTTGTGTCTGTTCCCTTTTGTTCCTTGGTGGAAGGTTCTGGTTAAAGCCATAGGTTTTAGCCAGTTGTTTTTTTCTGACAGAGCTTTCCTTGTGCAGGGAAACCATGGCTGTGTATTCTGTT